TGTTACAATTGACCCCACTCTCCCCTATCTAATAAACAAATTCGGAATTTTCCTTCTACTTTTTATCTTTCTTTAAATTTTTGAGAGCTCATTACTGTCTTACAATGAAATGCATAAAGCAAAACAAAATGATGAAACTGTACTTCCCAATACTTTTACGTAAAATTCATAAGAGTTATTCAGAGCTAAAGGGATAGAGCTCACGCCTCTCAATGAGAAGATCCAAGTTCGAATCCCAGTGTTTGCTGATCGATACGAATTTTGATCCCAGTTCGTATCGACAACAGTTCATAAATATCTTGAGTGGTAGACGGATTATGGATTAGAATCCCTTTATTGTTGTGTTAACCGTGAGCGGCTTTCTTGGTTTTCCTCTTCATGTAACGCAAGTGCGGGTTACTTCCACCAAAAAGTCCTCCATGAAATCCAGTTTGTCCCGATACTTGGTCAAAAAGTTCCCTTGCCTTCTGAACCAAATTCGAAATTCTGAATCTGCGGAGTAAATAAACTTCCAATTGGGTCGACTGTTCAACGCCGGCTATAAAGTAATAAAAAAATAATAAGTTGTTCAGAATCGCAAAGAGTGCAAACAGGAAAAACTTTAAGTCTTTTTCCAGCTGCGAAATAGCGTCAGGACGAGAGAAATCTGGAACAGTGGGCTTTGAACTTGTGAGACAGTTTCGTGTTATATTCCCATAGCTTCGTATAGAAGGAGTATAAGGAGAACTTCCTTTTTATTTAACACGTTCACTCCGGGAAAAGCGAAAATACTGGTAGAACAACTATTTCAATATTAGATAATATTCGGGAGGAGTTAATCTATTCTCAACAATAACAATTCACTGAAAGAGACATTTATCACGGCGAAGCAATTCAATATATAAATTGCATCCGTTAAAAACAATTGGTAGTTATGGATTTTTATTATTCCCGGAAGAAAACTAAAAAATGAAATTTATTTGTTACCAGTTTTTACTCCGGTGCGCCGCCAAGATGAGACAATCTAGCCTGACCCTCCGGTGGGTCACCCCGGCGTGAACGTGTAAAACTCTAATCAAGAGTCTTGCAGCAGTGAAAAATTCACGCATAACCTTTGATATCACTAAGAAAAATATTTTCTGAAACTATGTGAATTCAGTTGTAGTTAAAGGGTATGTATTGGTAAAGATAACTAAAATCACTGGCTAAAATCACTGGACCCTGTTAAAAATACAGAACGTAATAAAAATGCAGTTCATAAATTTTGCGCAAAACACGTTATTTTGATCACCAGAACATGTAACTAATTTGAGTGGTCATTGTCAGTTTTAATATTTGCTAAATATGCTGGTAAGTAAAAATTTAAATGTTTCCTTGTCCTTCATCCTAAATAAGAGATTAATTTAGAACTGAATGTTGCTGTAAAACACTTTTCTGTGATGTCAACTTGCTTCACTTTGAGGGAAAATATCTTCGAGTCGTAACAGAGTTTGTATTTTTATGTATAATTCTCAGTTTAGAAAATTTGATTTAAAGCAATTTTCCCCACCATTATAGGTATGAATAATTCAGAAGTTTATGTAAAATGCTTTCTCGCTCTACTTGAAAAGATGAGCATGAGCTAATTCTGAATTAACTTAAGAGTATAAGTAGATGCAAGTTAATTTAAATGATTCTGCCCGATATAGTAGCTTATAATTTACGTTAACATCACTGCTGAAGTTAATATTCGCAATCGCGCAACAATGGCTACGTATCATCAACACGGACGTGGCGGAAAGCGGCTGACCGAAAGACGTGCACGTCGTTCAACGACGGATGAGGAATGCTCGGATTTTGAAACCAAAATGGCTGAAAAGTTAGCACACATGGGAAGGAGAATAAAAGAAGATGAAAGCAAAAATAAAGAACTACTTGAGAAACTAAATCATTTGGAGCAGTCTCTCATGCCTGTGCCAAATAGGCCCGAAATACCGACAACACCAATTGATGTCATTGATATGGAAACTTATGAAGGCGGCCAACTTTTGGAGTCAACCAGAGATTCAGAAAGCTCAACTAAAAATATTGCAGAACCCCCTTTGAAGAAAAAGAAAAATAATGTCAAAAAAGCTGAAGCAAATCTAATCATGACCACAAATAGTAAACATTTTTCACCGATAGATACCGCCACCTCCTTACAACCATCTGAATCTATATCTGATAATGACTTAGCTCCACCCAAGGAGGATTCCAGTTCAGCTGTAGATCCACCATGGGTGAAAGCCCTTATATAGCAAGACGGAAAAGAGAAAAACCTGGTACGGAAAACATTTCATTCCAGCATTTTTTTCGAAAAAATTAAATATCTGTAACTATCAAGATTTCTTTTATAATTCTGGCATATATATAAAACTGCTTCTTTTCCAAGATAAAGTAGATATTGTTGAAAAATTTAAAAAAAGAGTAAGTAAACTCCTCCCCAAAACTAGCTATAACTGAAATGGTTTTACTACCAGCCTTTCCTCTTTTCCGTCTCGCTTTCACCCCTGAGGTCCACCCACAACTCGAGCAAAAGTTTAACCAATTAAGCATATAAAAGTTCTTATTCGTGGTCTTCCTGTTGGATTCTATACTGATAATATCTCCCAGGAACTGGCAAAGTCAGACATCATAACGCAAAAGATAATTCAGTTTAAGAGAAAAGTGGGCGGGACCTACAGGCTCCTCCCACTTTTTCTCACAATTCTCACAGAAACAGATGTTAATCGACAAATTTTCTCTATCACCAATATACAAAGTATCCCGGTCAGTATTGAAAGGTTCCGAGGCGGGCAAAATCCAATCCAGTGTTACAACTGCCAAGAATTTGGACACAGTCAAAGATCATGTAATTCACCATCAAGATGTGTTAAGTGCGCCGCCAAACACCGATCATACGAGTGCCAAAAAGATGAAAATACACCACCTAAGTGCAGTAACTGCGGAGACTCTCATACAGCCAACTACACGGGGTGCAGAGCCCGTCCCCGCAGGAGGGGAACACGTGCCATACCACCACCAACAACAGGACTTGCTCAAAGGTTGGTTACAATAATTAAAGAATTGCAAGAACTTTTAAAAAATCAAGAAGTGCTTCAACTGCTTCAGAGGATTATGGGGGAAGCCACTCTTGCACAGTAACATCTTTTTTTACTTGATTTGAACTTCTATTTGAACTCTTATTATTATTCAGAACTCTAATTTTCCATACAGATTATTAAAATAAATACTGCATACTGCCCTTTCAAATTAAAGTTGATCATACTAGATGGCGCCACTAAGGCTTGACAAAATTTATGTAAAACCTTCACGCCTATGAATCACGACTTTTGTATATATATAATCATCATTTATTCATGCTCATATTCAATTTTCTGTACATATTTATGGCAATTAATGTAAATATCGCTGTTCAAGTTGTAATGTTTTCTAATCAAGGTCATATTTTCTGTACATTTTTTCATGGCAATTACTGTAAATATCTCTGTTCAAGTTCGTATTTTCATGATGAATGGGATAGGGGACGCTGCGCGGCCCAGGTGCCCAGCTGTTTTTAAATAAAGTAAAGTAAAGCTCTACTTGAAAAGGTAGGAAAAATAAATCAAAATTTTGAAGGTTTTAATGATTAACTTTCTACCACTCTATAAATATTTTGCTGAAAGCAGAGTGGTTGACAACCCTGCATTACTGCATATTGTCAGTTTTTTAATGCTCACCCATGTCTGAATCCTCCATACGTCGTGATGATTTGAAATAAAAAGGAAATGGAATTTATTAAACCAAAATTTAAATATTGAAGAAGTATAGTCTTATTGGGAAAAATATTGCGCAAAAATAAAGCATTTTACTTTGCAATTTTCAGCTGGTTGAAGAATTGGGCCTAGTAAACGTGCAGGTATTGCTTTCATTCTACTAGCCAAGAACAGAAATCTGCCTATTGGAAAAAAAGCAAAGTTTAAAAAATAAAGTATTAATACTAAGAAACAAATTAATGTAAATAGAGATATCTAAATTTTCTTCGGATATTTTGTTTTATATTTGTTAGACACTGGATATTTTGATATTTTAATAATATGAGAAAAATTAAGCTAAAAGAGACCCCTGAAGTTTTCTCGGATATTTTATTAAGCATTTCTTTCCTCGGACACTTTGATATTTTTTAAGAAGAAATTAGCTACATAAATTCTCTCCGACCTACTACATAACTTTAAAATATAAAATATTAAAATATTGATTGCAAGAACTTTTTATTCAGGAGAAGTAACTATCCTGACCAACTACTATTTATAAGCATTCATAATACATATTTATCCACTACTGACATTTCACCCGATAACCCCTTATAACTGCGGGTACCTACTTTATTCCTGACAATTTTAATTTTCTTGATTACATCGAATTAGGAAAAATAAATTTGTTAGGAATAATTATTACTCCTCAATAAAAGGTAAAAAGGTTTTGTTCGTGCAACTAATTTTTTATCTTTTTTAGAATTATAGCAGCCATGTTCTCTTTTTTTCGTTCCCTGTGTGTACGGTGTACAAAAAAAAAGAAGAAGAAAAAAGACATGGACCAAGCAGAATAACTTTTAATTTAATGATTGGATCTTCTCGTTCTAGACCTCAATCTTAATGGTTCGAGGTGTTAACCTCAAATATGCTAATTAATTTGCGCAAATGATATTTTAAGTTACGAAAGCAGACACAAAAACGTATAATCTCTGAATAAACATACATTTTTTAAAAATTATTCGGATTTCTGTCTATTCAAATTCGGATTCTAAGAGCAATCTGGGAAATGTAGTCTCAATAGTTTGTTCAGAAGAGCAGTCGAAATTTTGGGAAATTTATTGTTTATTTTATTTTTTGTGTATTTCGGCCTATCTTGCGAACTTTTTAAACGAATTGAAAAATTTTTGTACGCAATTATATAATTCGTTTATGCAAAAATAATTCCATTCACAGAAGAACTTTTAGTAAATATTTATTATTTTTTATTATTTTGTTCAATAATAGTCGGAAAATGTTGAACTGCAAGGTATATATTTTTTTACATAATTTTAAAGAAAGTAATTTTACGTGAAAAAATACGAAGTTTGAGTGTAATTGCTCCGATTGTTCTAGTGAAATCGAATTTAAAAAAAGTCAGATACTTAAAATTCGATTTCTTCGGAACTCTTCGACTGATTTCAGAATTCCTAATCCGTCAAATAAATGGTGTGTTTATTCAGAGAAAGTGCATTTTTGTTTTTGATTTCGTAACTTAAAGTATCGGCAGCACAATTTAATTACCATATTTGAGGGAGATCATCCCCTCATGCATTAAGATTTAGTCCTAGAACGTGAATATCTGATCATTAGACCGAAAATTATTCAGGGTGGTCTGTTTTTATTTTTTGCGTACTATACCATAACCTCCTACATCAAGAAGCCTCCACACGGTTTCTTATAGGTAGTCCGCGCAGACTGTTGAAAAAGTGAACCAGTTGTGCGCATGAACCCAAAACCTTTTATAAAAGTAATTGAGAGAAATTAATCTTATATATTTGAGAATTGAATCTGTAGTGGTTGACAAGTGAATAAGGCAAACCAATAATATTCATAAATAAAATAAATTTTTAGTCATATATTTGCTACCACTTTCTTATTTTAACTATATTCTGTGTTAAATGACTCGCTCGGAAAGTGGATATCCTTCATAGTGGTCTGATCGGACTACCTATAAAAAACCGTGTGGAGGCTTTCAGTTACAAGAGGCGCTGACTATACTCCATTTAAATTTTTATTTCATGTGGTAATTGTAAATACATCAAACCTCTGATTTGCAGCCAAATTATGAATTAACCTAATCATCATTTTTAATTTTCTAACAGTACAATCCTGATTTATCGAAATCTGCAGCTACGACCTTATAATTCAAACAAATTAAGTAGTGAGGCTGGCAACGTAAAGTTCGGTATGACAAAGTATGATCCGCCACACTTGGAGGGGTTAACACCCCTCCAAGTGTGATCTATGTCCCCACATGTGATCTATGTCCTCAGTGGTAGCTGATCGCTTATAAACTTAATGGAGTGTATAGCCGAGCAAGTTTCTCCACATAAGTTAGAATGCTAATTAATGTGAAGTTAATTAAATACATCGCCGCAGCGCACATCGAATTTGTTAAGATATGATTCTTTATTGTCTATGCCTTACACTTAACTTAGATTTATTATTTGTTTATGTATTTTATTGTAACCACGATTTATTTTTTATTTCGTATATCTCGCAACTTCGATGCATAATTAGTTTGCCCACGCTTAGTCAATTGCAGGTATCCTTAATTGTAATTTGCTTTAAAAAACTAAGTTTTTAAATCGCGGAGAGTTCTGTCAATAGTTTTACCATTTGTGAATCCAGATGTGTGATCCCGAGTAGGTCCTTGCTCAAGAGAAGGAAAAGGTCCTCTTAATTGCCACTCATTTTCAGTTGAAGAATCCTTAACCCAATTGCAGAAAGACTGGTCGAAATTACATCTGGACAAGGCTGTTACTAAACGTTAAAAAGAAATAAATTATGTTAGTATCATATTCACCTACAATTTTTTCAAAGATTTTGCTATGATTGAATTAATTTGTTGACAGTGATTTTATATCTATTTTGTTTAAATTATGCAAACTAAAATAAATTTATATCTCGTGAAAATAAAATAATTTTTACTGCCACTCTAAGTATAAAATTAAAAACTTAGCATAAATTTGTAAAAATGCAGGTGTTGAATTAATGTCTTATTTCTAATTGTTAATTTCAAAGGAGCTGACGACAAGTGTATGCATTAGCCATTACCTATACGATCTGGCAAAAATTAAATCAACTAAAATAACTGTGATCAGCATCTTCGATTAAAAAGGAATGCAGATTTGATATCCTCTCAGCCGAAGTCGGCATGATCAAGTGCTTGTATAGTTGCATACCTGAGAACTCTTCCGGATTTTCCCGAAGATTTTATTTTCATATTTAAAGTGGTAGCAATATTCAAGTTATTCCAATTAACTTTTTGAATTATAATGATAATTATAAATGAGTTTGACCGCCACTACATATAAATAATTACAATAAATTTATAAAAGCATAATATTTCTAGCGCAAGCAAATTTCGACGGGATCAAAATTTAAACATATTTTTGAGTTAGATTGTTTTTCGTTTATTGTTTTACAACCACTCTGAAAATCCATTCTCGGAAAGAATGAAAGTTGGCAGGTATGTAAGTGCAAAAAAAATATTAGTTCCCCAGTGTAATTAACTCTTTCGCGCCGACTGAATGAATACTGTCACAAATACGTGCCAGCATAAAACCATATCAATCAGGGTAAAAAGATAAAACTGGTAATCAAAGTAATTCGTTAGCAGTTTATTTGTGGGCGGAGTTATAATTGTTTGATTTATTTAATTCACCATTACTTTGTTCAAAATAAAACTATTTAGTTACACTTTGAATTAACATTGATTATATATATGATTAACGTTGTTTTCAGCTTCATTTTCTGTATAAGCCATTTATTCTTGTTGTAATTTTATGTATGTTTAATGTATGTTTTGTCTGTAGAATGCATGTTCTACTCTCGTGTGCCCTTGAATAGGGCGGGTCGAGATAAGAATAAACAATCTATATATGATTAAACTAACAATTAAAGTAAAAGCAACGTAAGTCTGCCAAATCAGAAACGACTACATTTAAGTTACCATTTTTTATTTATTTACACCCTGATTCTGATTTTGTACGAATGCTTTTCTGAATCACCCGTCCACAAGGGAATCACCCGTATCCAATCCATTAATAAATTCACATTTATTGAAAAATTAAAATTGTTGAAATGAAACTAATACAATTGAAATAGTTTTCCTATAATGGATTTCTGGTTGCTTAAGAAACATCTGCTAAATTTAAGATTTTTTAAATAATTTTAAAAGCCATGGTTAGTTCACTTACCTCCAATTTCAAAAGTCAATGGTAAGCAATTTACCGCTTTAAATTTGGACATTTATTTATTTACATTTTAAACTCTGACGAAAATATGACAAAAAAAATTGTAATCATATTGGGATATATAAAAGATAATTACTTTTGCTTTTAGTAACATTTAACAATTTATTTTAAAAATAAAAATATATAAAAGTTTTTAAGCTTGTTATTTTTTAAAACACCTAATAAGTGGTGAAAAACATATTTACCATAAAAAATTTCTTTAAAATTTAAATTAATTTTATCTAATAAATTAAATGAATTTTCTTCTTACATCATTTCAAAAATATTTTAACTTACCCTTCTTAGAAATAAATTGCATATTAAAGAGTTAAACAGGCATGGTAAAATATTTTAATTAACTATCAATATACTACTATATAAATTCACTACAATAGGTATAAAATACATTTATACGGAAATGATGATCCTTTATTTCGAATAAAATGGGTATGCATAAATGATATCAATTTTCTATAGAATTAAATATCATTTGGAATTCTATAAATAACTACTGTTTTCTACGTCCTCCGTCCGAAATTAGTTGCTTCATGTAGGTCGAAAATTTTATCCCAGATTAATTACTACATTTCAAGTAGGTGGAGTCATAAATAACTTCGAATGCAATTAAGTAGATCGACACCAGTAAAATTACATTACAAAGAATTCACGATTCATTCGAAAGGAGATATGTGATTACTGGTAGAAGAGTCCTTAAAAAATGGGGCACGGCTTAAAAGCGTAAGAACCTTGGATTTTTGATAATAAAATGGCACTGCACACCTGCCAACTTTTACGCATTTGGCGTAAAATTTTATTTTTATATTTAAAGTGGTAGTAAAATGTATGTTTTCTAAATATGCCTTGCATTTATAAATTTAAATTATTATTTTTTTGACCACCACTATTTTTAAAAAATTTAAGCATATATATATAAATATGTAATATTCGTAAAGTAATCCGCTGGAACTTTTTCAAAATACGACGCATGTTACGGCATAAAATAGTAAATCAAATTCTGTTTTACTACCAATGGGAAAATTCATTCTCGTTAGGATTAAAAGTTGGCAGGTATGGCACTGATTTATGGAAGGAAGGTGTGACTACTTGGTAAGTAAATGTTGTTGCTTGATTACATAGATTTCTAAAAATCACTCCAGCAAAATCATACTATCACTAGTATCAATAATCAGTACAGAAATATCCCAATGCAGTACAATAATTAAATTTTACAGAATAGCAGGGACAGTGGCAGTAGAATATTTCTATGGATCAAGAACTAAGTGCTAAAACCTTCAGTTATAGAACGAGTTAGTTGGAAATTCTAGAAAGATAAAATGAAACTTTTAATATTTTTGAACATTATCTAAATATACTCCCTTGCTCCACACTTTTTTTTTAACTATTTCCCTACTTCTGTTGCGAAAACGCAAATTCTGATGATAAAGTAAAATATACTTTCTTTAAAAAGTGATTGGGAACTTAAGTTGAGACTAATTAATGTTTTCCAACGTTTTTTGACACTTTAGTTTGAAATATCACAATCGTTGGTAGACGATCTTAGTATCTTAGAAGCGAATTAAACGAAAGAAAATGCTGAAAATGTTATAATTTTTTATCATTAAATTCTAATTTTAATATTCTATGTTGGAAAATTTAAATATTGCTTTGCAAAGATTTGAATGTATGTGACTTTATCTCTAAAATTAGTTGTTTACGTAAAATTATATTTTAAATTTTACGTACAGCATACTTCTCGTTTTTCGTCTTCAAAATTACCACAGTCATCAGTGTAATCGCATACGTTGTCTCTAGGTATGCAGCGAGAATTTTTGCAGTCAAAGTTGTTTTCTCTACACATTCCAGGTTCTCCTACAGCTATAAACATACATGGTTTTAGATACATAAAATATACTTTCACCAAATTTGTTACGCACCTTCAAAACTTTTTTCAGCTGTCTTTATACAGAAAAATAAATATAAACTAGCAAATAAATATTGATAATAAACATGACCATAATAGGAATACTGTACTGATATATATTCCGTAGATTAAAGAAATGTTTGTAGTAAATGCCGTAGAAAACAGAAATGTTTTCTATCTACTGACGTCATTTCTTAGGATTTACTGCAATGAGTCTTGAGAGCACATATGTAATATAAAATACTATTGAGCGAAATTGAAATTCAATGAATATGATCTTTTTGAACTAACTTTGCATTCAGTGCACAAAATGAATAAATAAAACGAAAATACTAATTGATATTTGATTTAAATGCTGGATTTTTACGAAAATAAAAGTTTGTTCAATCCTTTCTGGAGCAACAAATATTGACTGGACATTTGAGACAGGCAGCATTAGGGATTGCTCCGCTTTCTGCTAAAGTTTTAATAATTTGGAAGCGAATTAAATAGTAAAACTTGTAGTGTAAATATAAATTCGCCAATTTTTAAAAGAGTAACCAAAAGATAAATGCATTAAAGGTGCATTTGTATTACTCTGAATTTCCATATATAGCAGAGATGCCAATTGATCCTTACCAACGCCTCCTATAACTGGAAGCCTCCACACGGTTTTTTATAGGTAGTCCGAATAGACCACTGTGAAGGATATCCACTTTCCGAAAGAGTCACTTAAGAGAAAATCTAGTTAAAATAAGAAAGTGGTAGCAAATATATGACTAAAAATTTGTTTTATTTATGAATATTATTGGTTTGCCTTATTCACTTGTCAACCACTACAGATTCAATTCTCAAATATATATCATGAATTTCTTCCAATTACTTTTATAAAAGGTTTTGGGTTCATGCGCACAACTTTGTCACTTTTTAAATAGTCTGCGCGGACTACTTATAAAAGACCGTGTGGAGGTTTTTTGATGTAGGAGGTGATGTCCTTACATGCCAAATTAATTTAATAAATGGTAAATAACTACAAACTAAATTTTGCAAATATTTGACTAATTATGCTTACTTTTTAAAACGTTTAGCATGACTGACTTAAATATTCTTCTACTTTATTTAAATAAACTGGGCACCTGGGCCGCGAAGCGGTCCTTAACCCATTCATTATTAAATTACATACAGTAAGGTAAAATACATTGATTTGGCAAACATTGTGGTAGCCATAGAAAATTAAGTCGTTTGCTTGTGAAATAATAAAACAGTGAAAAAATTCAACATGACAAATTGACGTTTTTACATAACATTAGAAATGGACTTAAATATAACAAAGTGGCGAATTACATAAGCCTTTGAATTACTTAGAATTAGTGGTGGATAAAATCTTAATAAATTGAATTTATTAAACCAAGAGTCACAATTATTAAACTACCACGTGAAAATATTTATTCGCTGTCCGGATCACGTTGGCATCTCTGATAGAGTCGCAAAAAAATTAAGATATACTAAACTAAACTAACTTAAATTTTGTCACCACTATTTAAAGCAATTTTTGACAACGCGGAGCAATCCGGGATCTCTGCCGAAGATTCCTAAATAGTTCTTTGTTTTTTAAGTAACAGCGTTATTTTAATATTAAAATAACCACATTTACTTAAACTGTGTTTGTTTAATAAATAGTGGTTGCTAAAGAATGGTAGACATTTAGAAATAAATAGAATTATATTTTTAATGAATCACACATTTTTTGAATAAGTATTACCAGACTGGACAAACTGCTCTGGTAAAGGTTATATGGTTTAAAGTTAAACGTCAAAATTTAAATATATTACAGAGAGACAGTTCAAATGATAATGTAGGTATTACATGGGTCTCTGCTCACAAGTGGGACGCTGATGGCGGAAAGTGGTAGAAAGTGTAAGCCAAAATTAGTATTGCAATCTAATATTCAATTGTTTTTGCGTTTTCTTAAAATGAGAATATAATCAAGTTATTTTCTTAACATGCCTGAAAAACTTTACGTTTTTTTTTTCAAAATATTTTATAGAGCGGCAGACAGACTTATTCATTATTATTTATTTACTTCATAATCGACGTTGAAACAATTCAGGTCAACGCCAAAAATTCAACTGCTTATACACAAAAAGAAAACTTTCAATATCCTGCTATAGAATCAATAAGTACTTTTAAACAAAACCATCCCATTAGCCAATAAAGGCATTAACTCTCAATTGAAAAGATCACTTACAGAGTATTACAAAGTGCTGGCAGCCTGCAATAAACTACAAAACTTACTCTACTACGCCGATATGCAATTGAAACTAAAACGTTTACCATGTGTACCTGTCTATGATCAGACATGTCTTAGCATATGCACCCGCAGCCTGGCCTAATAAATTTCCAACTCATATCCTGACATTTGTTTGGGCTAATAAAGGCATTTCTGAGCGCGCAAACCTTTTTTCTCATCAGATTTGTGACCTTTGACGTCTTTTTTCCGAGGGTTAAAATTCCTCCCTAGGAATGTTAACACATTGCTGACCGGTCATGAGTTAACTCGTGTTTTCGTTAGCAGTGATCTCGTGGTGACTATTTTAGAAAGTGGGCATAATTTTAGTTACTTTTTAAGTTTTACTATTTAATTCTCTACCAATTTATTATAACTTTACGAAACTTGATATTTGCAAGACTTGTAGTATACCACACGTATCGCACATGCCTACCCTTCCGAATTTTTCGGAAGATTTTATTTTCATATCTAAAGTGGTAGTAAATATATACTATTTTTTCTTTTATAAACGTAATTTTTAAATGATTTTGATCACCACTATTCTTACAAAAATGAATCACATATATTAATATGCGTTACTATCATGGTTGTCAACTTAAGTTTTCTCAAATACAATGTATTTGTTTGCTCTTAAAATTGAAGTTTTAATTCCATTTTAATACCACTGGGAAAAATGATAGTGGAAGGGATTAAAAGTTGGCAGGTATGACGTATAACAAGCACATAGGTGATCGTTATACGTTTTATCCTACGGCATTAAAAACTTTTAAAGTCTTTTTTTTCCTTAATATTGTTTCACTTTCACATACGAGCCGACCAGGTGGACGAGTGGTTAGCGTGTCTGACTGCGGTGCCATTGACCGCGGGTTCGAATCCTGCTCAGGGCATGGATGTTTCTTTCTCCCTCTGTGTTCTATGTCCTTTCCTCTTTGTGCGTATGTGACCCGCCCAATAAACGGGCTTGTGGTTGTGTGACGTGGGCGACGCTGCTCCACCGCCGTGGCTTCGCCACAGGTGCCCACTGGGTAACGAGAAGAGAGTAGCAGTTCTGGCACTAAAGGCCAATGGGACAATACATCCTAAGTGCCCGCCATTGAATGAAAAAAACTGTCACATTCGCTTTCAAAACAATTGCCTGGCGCACGGGGTAATTAGTTCTTGGTCGTAATAGTTTTAAAAAAATATAGTTTGTAAATTCACAGTTGAAAATTTGCAAAAGAGAAAATTCATCCACTGCTGATACACATTTTCAATAATAGAGTGACGTTGTTCTCTGCCGTAAAATATTCTGGCTTGTAAATTTAGACACTTGAAAATCTACTAAACTAAGATCTTATTCAAAAGTTTTTTTCCTATTTGTGCTACGTATTTATAACAACAGTGCCTTTGTCCCTTGTTATATTAATTTTGTTGCATTTATTTATAACAAATTACATGGTGTTCTAGATTGAAAATTTACACATTTGTCACTTGTGATCATATTCATGTATTCAAAAGCAATTTTCTATTGGAGCTATCTATTTGTGATGGCGCCGTATCGAAACAGTTTAAAACTAGAAATTAATTTTTGATAGCTTTCGGTCCACATAATATAGTTCAAATCTACTCATTAAAAAAAGAATGGTTACTTGGAGTATCACAATCTTTCGCAGCTATGTCGTCCACAGCAGCATGGCACTCATCTCCAGGTTCTCTTACCGCTACGAAATTTATCTAGAATGGATAAATTGTTTATTATTAAACAATCATGTATTTACATTTTATATCATGTTTGGTGCTATCATTTTGGTTTCGCATTTAATGAGATTAGTGGAAGAAATGACATTTTCAGGAATATTTATTAATCAGGAAAAAAAACATAAAGCAGTCACATATGGGTAGGTTTATTGTAACATAAATCGGCTATACCACTTAAAATATTTAGTAAAATACTGCGACCACCGATATAGAGTGTTATGTTAACCCTTTCACGCCGACTGTCACAAATAAGTGCCAGCATTAAACTGTATCAACCAGGGTAAAAAAATAAAACTGGTAATCAAAGTATTTCTTTAGCAGTTTATTTGTGGGTGGAGTTATAATTGTTTGATTTATTTAATTCACCATTACTTTGTTCAAAATAAAACTTTTTAGTTATACTTTGAATTGACATTGATTATATACATGATTAAACTAACAATAATTAAAGTAAAAGCAAAGTAAGTCTGTCAAATTAGAAACGACTACATTTAAGTTACCGTTTTTTATTTAATTACATCCTGATTCTGATTTTGTAGGAATATTCTTACGAATCACCCGTCCCCAATGAATTAAGAATGGGTCTTCGTGCTGATTTTCGATAGGCGGAGCTCCCAAAAATCTGGCAAAAATGTTCAAGACGTGGCAAATTACTTATCAAAGCAATCTGAAGTTCTTCTAATTTTACAATCACTTCTATTTATATAATATTCATCTAGCATGTATCAGACTTCGATGGATGCAATAAGAGAGTTCCCACGGTGTGGGGAATTTTTTTATTGTGGTAGTGAGTCAGATATATCTAGATGTTTTGAGCTAACACTCGTAAATAATTTCGCAATTCTCAAATGAAAGATATATTTAAGCATTTTTCAGTAGTCTTGTAAAATCTTAGTTACCACTCATTTATTTTTTAAAGGTGGTGGGAACGATGAATAAGTTTCTAAATCCTAATACAATAAGAAAAACTAATGACCAATTTTATGAACAATACAGATTTTCTAGATTATACATTTTGCTACAACTTCAAATATTTTAGCACCTCTGGAGCCCTGATAAAGTAAACAGAGTTAGTGGATTAAATAGTTATGTAATTCGCATAGATTTGTTTGAAAAGGTTTGATTCACTCTGGAAATTAAGAATCATACCTTTAAAATGGTTTTAATTGAGTCGTCCGGAAAGAGTTCCTGTCGATTTTCGATAGTCAGAGCCCTCAAAAGTACGTCAAAAATATTCAAGTGGTAGCAAACTACTCTTCAAAGCAATTTGAAGTTTTCCTACTTTCGCAACAACTTCAATTCAGATAAATATTCATCTTGCACGTATCAGTAAATTCAATCATCTTGTATCCGTTTATGCAACTCGCATGCATCAGTATAAGCAATCAGCATGTATCAGTACTTGCAATAAGTTTCCAAATTTTAGTGGTGATTAAGAAAATATAATGATCCAATTTCAAAGACAAGAAATAAATTTCATAGTAACAATTTTGCTACCACTTAAATATTTTTGGCAGACCATTGGAATACACCTCTCATCGAAAATGGGCACGAACTTTCCGGACCACCCAATACATTAACATTTTTTTCTTCGATAAATCAATAATGCCATTGTTTACTTTCTCGCACTATTATCTTATTTATAACATAAATTAAAAAAAGAGTAGCTTTTATAATAAATTCTAAATTAACTTACTTGAAATTCTTTTGGAATTCTCCCTAGAAATATCTCGGCTTTTGTCCAAGTTAGATCACTCCTCTTAACTGGCATCCATAAATCAATAGTTTTATTATTTCGTTCTAAAGTAACTCGTAGTTTCACTGCAAAAAGTTATTGACAAAAAAACTTAGTTTAAAAGAATTTTATAATGATTAGATTTAGAACTTTCACTTTTTGGTGGAAGTTTTGCTAGTGGTAGTAACAAAAAAAAAGGAAAGAAAAGAACAGCAGTAATTATTAACTGCAATGCAGTCGATTTTTCTGGCTTTTGGCCGGAGATTTTTCCTGAGCAATAAAAACGGTAGAAAAGTGCATAATTTAGGATTTCATTTAAAATGATTTTGTCAATAACAACATTTAAAAAGTTTAAATTTAAGATGTACATCAAAGAACACAAAGCAATTTTTTATACTTTTGTTATCGTCGCGGTCTGGTCAAAGTTATTAGATAGTTTTGATTTACTAATTTTAATTTAATTGTATATAAACATGCCCTCAAAATAAAATATAAAAACATGTGCTGAACCGTGGTGGCTCAGGGGTTAAAGCGTTCGCCTCCCAAAGAGGTGAACCCAGTTCGAATTCCAGCTCTAACTGTCCGATATGAATTCAGCACCCGGCTCGCACTGACCACAATGCTGACGTAAAATATCCTCAGTAGTAGATGGGTCATGGATTCGAGTCCTCTTGCCGTCAGGCTAACCGAGAGAGATTTCTGTGGTTTTCCTCATAATGTGACGCAAATGCGGGTCCTCTGAGAAGGCAAATTTCTCCCAATACTTGATCCAGGAGTTTACTTGTCTTCTGGATTGGGTTAAAATTACAAGGCTATGGAGTTTAACATAGTCTTAAACTCAAAATTGGGTAAGCTGTTCAACGACGATTGTAAAATTGACAGATGTAGTAATGATAAAGGCTGAGAACTTACTTTTTCCATACAGATTGTACCAAAATTGAATAGAGCAAGTAGAAAATGAGTCTCTCAGTGTTGAACTTTTAAGTGTAGCGTTGAAATTATACGATGACCACGAGCTCGGAGCAGAGGCAATTACAAAGTGTCCTAATTAGGAAAAAAACAGTAGTAAAGAATGTTTTGCAAATTATTGTGAATTTAAAATAGTAGATAGAGTAAGGAAAATGAAGCTACTCAAAGAGATAAATTATAGGTAAGATATAAAGTTTGATTTAAAAAAAATACGATTCACTACAAAATGAAGAAAATTGTGATCACCGCTAGGCGATCACAGGTTACCCATTTGCAAAATGGTTGTTGTCTAATTTTTTTTTTTATGTTTGTTTTCATGTTTTTGGTTTCCACACCTTTATAGTTCGTCTAAAGTAAGAACTCCCTTAGCCATTCATCTGGATCCGTGGCTGTGATTATGGTAACGANGTTTCTTAGGACAAGCGCCTTATCTGGGCGTCAGCGGGACGTCAACGTCCCGCTGAAATACTGGTTTGTTAGCTCAAGGCCTGGTTTCTTAGAACTAGCGCCTTATCTAGGCGGCAGCGGAAAGTTGACGTAGAGTTGACGCCAAAAAATACTTTTTTGTTAGCTCAGCGTGAGCAGTCGGTCCAACGCAGACATTATCTCTCATTGCTCAGGCGTTAATAACGTAAACAAATATTTATTCTGAATTTGTATTGATTTTGTTATTGTCAACTCACAAATGGACCAATTAGAGGTTAGCGCTGATTTCCAGCCGACGGCGTCCTGTCCTAAGAAACCAGGCCTTCAGACACATTCTTGTAAATTCTTAAAAAATCAAAAGCACAAAAACATAAATCCTGATGTTAACTTTAAATATAAATTGTCCCAATGTTTATTTTTGCTATAAGCAGCAGTTATTAATCTTTTAATAACATGTTTAGTTACACTATTTATAATATTTTTCATTTAAAATTACACTGATACAATAAAATCAAGATGTTCCCAATTATATAATTTTTGTAAGTTAAAGAAATCTTACCTGATGAATCCTCAATAGTATGATCGAAATTTAAATTTTCTCTTCCCGCTTGTAATCGTGACCATCTGAAATACTCATAATTGTTTTGACTGTTCCACCCACAAGAATGCTTCTCAAAATCACACTCAGTGCAGTTTTCTTCATCATATCCGTTTGTGCAGTCTTTTCTGAAGTTACAAACATTCTCAACTGGTACATATTCGCCATTATTACAATCAAAAGAATCGGTTTTATCTATGGTGGAAAAATACAACTATCAATGTATAAAAAATATTTATTTTTCATTTTAATTAAAAATTTAGTTAAGAAATTCATAATACCCTTTTTTGAAATTTTTATTTTCATAACTGGTTATGGGAGGGGCAAATTGGTGATACAGATGTAGGGCAAAAACATGAAAACACTTCCATACTAACTCTTAATAAACAACTTTTCTTTCAGCAGCAAATGTTTTGAAATATTTTAACTGCTTAACTGTTGGTTCACTTTCAAATTTCGTGCATTAATCTTTTAGAAATGGTGCCCTTTTGACAATGCAAAATTTGCATCGACCGAAATAACCCTACTCTACAATTTTACCTTGGCCCCAATTAAACTCAAAATTGGCACAATATAAGTTCTATATGAACATGCACTGAGGGACCAATATTGGGATGTCTAGATTTTTTAATAATGGTCCTAGAATGACATATATCGGGCCTACATTGACCAATATAGAACCTATATTGGTTAAATAATGGATATAAAATATTAGGTAAATCTGATAATTATATATAGGACCCGATACTGGAAGCCAAAATTGACCGAAATAAAATGAAACCTGCTCGTAGACTTAACATGGAATCCAATGGTAGACAAGACATTTTTTTTTCTGATGAGATCTGTAAATTATTGGTAGATATACTTTTTTCTTACCTTTAAAATTAATCATAACTATTCACAGGCATAATGTTAAAAAAAAATCATTTACTTTTGTGAAATAATTTGATTTTAAAAATTATGATAGCTTTACTTGTCACCCTTATCAATTTGTATTAATGTCAACACCTATGATTTCATTGAAAATAAAAAGTAAAAAATTAAGTACTAAAAGAAGAATTATAAATTTTAATTACTTTCACAAGTTCCATCATTTATTGATATATCATCAACAGCTAAGTAACCTTGGTGGTTATTACCTGCAACGCCAAACAGGTATATCTAGAAAAGAAGAATTAACGTTAAAATACACTTACAGTTTGTGGTTTTATAAAGATGATATTTTCACCAACTATGCCTTGAATATGTATGATTTATGAAAATGTTTTTATTACAAGGAATGATTTTAATTAATTTAAAGTGTTTAGCTGATGCAAAATTATGGGGAAAAATTTATATAAACAATAATTTTTTCAGCAGCAAGTGTTTTAGAAGATGGTGAAATAGTTGGCACAATTTGAAAGATCATATCTGAAGCTTTTAGAAATGGTATCCATTTTACCCATGCAAATTTTACATCGACTGGAATAAGCGTATGAATTTAAAAGATTTTTTTTCCATTTTCAATATCACTATAACTAAAAAATCATTCTAATATGAATATTGAATTGCTGGTATTAAAATTAAAAAAAAAAAGGTTTTTATATTCCTCTGCTCAAACAGTCAATTCGAATTATGCATGGGTAACCAAGGCTCTATTTATAAAATGGTTTGAGCATGATCTTTTAAATTGAGCCTAGAGTTTTTCCATATAAAATCTTCAAAACATTTGCTGCTGAAAGAAAGATTATTTGCGTGGAGTTAGTATATTACAATTATAACCGTCGTTGTACAGCCGACATGATTCTTGGGGTTTCTACTACTAATGTTCAACTCTGTAGCCTTGTATATTTGAACCCAATCTAGAAGACAAGGACTGGAGGATCAAGTATTATAAGAAATTTGTCTTCGTGGAAGACATTTTGATGGAACTAACCCGCATTTGCTTTACATGGAGAAAAAACCCCACTGAACTTTCCGCGGTTAGACAGACGGCAATAGGACTCTAACCCATGATTCTCTAACACTGAGGATATTTTGCGTCAGCATTGTGGTAGGCGCGAGTCGGGAGAAGAATTCGTTACAATCAGCCATTACTGGGATTCGAACCTGGGTCAGCTCATTCGCTCAGGGATAGGGGCGATTGCTCTATCCCTTGAGTTACCACGTCTCCGAAGCTTTATTTAGTACTCTTTCCCCGAAGATTATTTTGTGTCGAACTAAATAATCTAAGTGTGGGGCACAAATATGTTTCTTGGTTAGCTCAGTCGGTAAAGCTCAATAATTATTTTGCGCTGAGATATAAAGTTTATGTTAGCCCAGCAATAGGCAAGTATTTTTTTTTAAATTTTGAAAGTATTGAGTTCCAAAAAAAATTAATGGCTTCCAAATACTTATCCAAACATATAATAAATTACACAAATATGACCAAAAGACTTCTCCGAATCAATTACCCAAAAATCATTGAATGGTGCATCTTCTAGCGCAATTGGTGTCACAGTAGTGGTGATCTGATACCATTCCTCATTAGTCGAGTTCGTAATTTCTAAGTGCTGTAAAGCAGTTTTAAAGTCACTACTGCTATATATCTGTAGCTTAGTCCCGTCTGAATAACTTGGCATATTATACCACAGCTTGAGGCAGACTTCATAGCTACGAATACGCTCAGACATGTAGATTGCTTTTTCACCAAGTTTAATGTTTCTTGTGTCCAAGAGAAGATAAAAACCTAAAACATTTTAATAATTAGAAATTATTGAATACATAGTTATTTTTAATTGGAGAACTTAGTGCAAGAAGGTACTACGTGATATTAAAAATTTTTTCGAGTTACTGGCTCAGACATATAGACTGCGTTTTTACCTGGTTTAAAATTTCCGGCGCCGAAATATAATAAAATCCAGAAGGAATCCATTCATTTTAATAATGATTCCATATGAATAGTTGCTATTAGTAAGAATCAGTAGAAGAATGTTCTGAGAGACGTTTTTTAAATTGAGATTCATCGCGAAAGATCTTAGTATTAGTCTTTTTTACACAGCATTAATTCATCTTGACAAAATTTTGAATTTTGAAAAAACTATGCGTGTAAAATAATGGAAGTAACTTGTGAGAATATAAAGATAGTTATAAAAACCTTACAATAATGTCTTAGCAAAAGGACTTAACAATAACGCATAATATTACTATTATTTATTATATAAAAGAAATAATAAATAAATGGAAACTACCATCCACACTTAAAGGTATTCCTAATTCAATTTGTAGGTTGGTCGAGCTTGCTGCTCTTTATGTAACTTTCTAAATTGTGGAATAAAGCTTGATATAACTGTGCGCATTTCTTCTTTATTAAACAGTTTCGTGTGCTAATAGCTCTTTAAAACATTAATTACTGAAAACCTAGGTTATGTACAAAAGTTGAATAACAAAATGAATGAAAACTCTCGTAGCTTTTTCACTTAATACTAATTACTCATACTTTTAATCTATACAAACCTCTATAAACTCAATATTAAAGCATTTTTCATCTGAATTGCATCAGATTACAGTTACAAGAATAATATTTAACTTGAAGTCACGAGTACCATTCGGCATCCCTCATCTTTCCTCAAGGTAATTTAGAGTGTCACCGCACCTTGATTTAGAGAAGCAACGTATAAACTTTTAAAAATAATTAACGTTTCTAAAACAGGCTGTTAAGTTTTAAAAGTTACAAAATTAAACTTTAATTCACCCAGATTACATTTAAAGAATTCTTCGAACAACTTCTTCAATTAAGATTCGGTAAGTAAGTTGTAAATCAGAATTACCTTGTGGTGATCCTAAAGTATGATCATTGGATGGTCCGAAAGCATCATCAGCAATATGCCTTTTCCAGTCAAAATGATCACTTAGAACTTCAGATGATGTATCGACATGGAGTAATTCTGGTGACAGAAAGTAAAATGTAAATTTTATAAAAGAATGAAGAAACAAGCGTGATGTATGCTATAAAACTTACGTAAAAAAAATGAAATATCAAATGTTTTAAAATTTAATAATAATATTTGTGGAGTAATATAATTTGATTATGAGGTTAATATACAAGAAAGAGGTTAATCTATTATATTATAGTTATTAATCTATTTTAGTGGGGAATGTTTTTTATAACTGTTTTTTATATCCAAATTCCTTTTTTTTAAATTAATTAAATGTTGATTTCAGAAACCTATATGATTATTTTACAGCTGCATAAGTGAATAGTAAATTTCACAACAATAAAATTAAAGCTTTTATTTTTCTATGGTTAACATACATTTTAGGTTTGCCGGCGCACTCGATGCATATAAGCTCTTATCAAGTAGAGGGAGAGATAGCAAAATTCCGAGAACAGCACGGGGATGCATGCAGAGATGCCAAACTTGCTCCGGAGCGGGTTAGCTCCATCAAAAAGTCCTCCACAAAGGCAAAATTTCTCCGAATACTCGATCCAGTAGTTCCCTAGTCTTCTGGATTGGGTTCAAAATGGCAAGGCTACGAAGTTAAACATTAGTAGTCGTAAATCCATAAAATTGGGTCTGCTGTTCAACGTCGTTTATAAAATTATAAAACTTGCTCCGGACAGCAGATAAATATTTTCGAGTGGTAGTTTTTTATTGTATGATTCTTGGTTTAATAAATTCAATTTATTAGGATTTTATCCACCACTATTTCTAAATAATTCAAAAGCTTATATGATTCACTACTTCATATAGTGTGGTCGTCAGAGAAGTCTTCCAACTACTGCAAACAATCATGTCCACTTCTGAAGAATGTCTCCCTCTGACTTGTTTTCACTCAACATAGAACTCTATTCTACTGAACTTATGAACTGGTAAATTCAACACTAAATTTAATACTGCTTATTGCCACGCTAGATGGCGCCACTAAGGAAATGCAAAACTTATGCTAAAACTTCATGATTTTGTTTCGTTTCACATTTGTCTTACAAATCACGTAATTCTAACTCGATTCAATTCCAAAATGTCAATTGTATTTGTATATATCTTGATTCTATTCATATCTATATCACAACTTATGACTGCATCAAATTTAAACTCCATTCAATGCTGAAATTTCAATTGTACTTGTTTATATTTTAAATTAATTCACTTTTAAAACACAACTTATGATTGCATCAAATTTAATCCCATTCAATACTTCAATATCAATTGTGCTTTTTATATTCATGAAAATTTCTGATTATTTTATAAATCATGACTCATATTAAATATCAATTCATGTTTAATTTATCAAGCAAATTTGCTTGATCTTCTGTTCTGCTACCTTAATGCTGCATAATTCAAAATGTTCTTAATTCAACTTGTAAATACTAAGGCTTGTCAAAATTTATGTAAAATCTTCACGTCCATGAATCACGACTTTTGTATATATATAATCATCATTTATTAATGCTCATATTCAATTTTCTGTACATAATAATGTAAGTATCAGTTAATGTAATTCAGTTAATGTAAATATCTCTGTTCAAGTTGTAATTTTTTCTAATCAAGGTTATATTTTCTGTACATTTTTTCATGGCAATTACTGTAAATATCTCTGTTCAAGTTTGTATTTTCTCTAATCATGGTAATATTATTGTAANAAATATTTTCGAGTGGTAGTTTTTTATTGTATGATTCTTGGTTTAATAAATTCAATTAATTAGGATTTTATCCATCACTATTTCTAAATAATTCAAAAGTTTATATGATTCACTACTTCATATAGTTTGGTCGTGTTAAATCTATTAAAAAGTAAACAAATGTAACCAAATGTCTGCAAATTTTAGTTAGTGGTTAATTACCGTTTTTTAAGTTGTTTTGTCGTGTCCGGAGCAGTTGGTATCTCTGCCAGTGTTACGGCGAAGTTTGAACTAGATACCTCCTCGCTACATTCAAATTGATTATTTAAGCGTAACTAGCATTATGACTAGCATTGCAAATTATTTATATTTAAAAAAAAAAGATAATAAATCAGGCTTCCAATTTTAATCGTATACTAAAAAATATGCTAGAAGAAGCTGCAAAATTTAAAAGAAGACACGATTCCCTAGTAGAACACCAGAGTCAAGCATCACTGGCTGCGGTCAGTAAGCGGGATCAACCTCGTTAAACTGTTCTACCGTAAAGTGTCGGATTTCGCAAGCAGGTCGTTAGGCTACCAGAACATAAAATACCTACCTACCAAGAGATTTTTGCTTTTATTCTTCATCACTTTTTTAAATTTTTAGTCGTTTGTAACTTGCCTGGTTTTCAATCTTTTCCCGCGCAGTGTGTCTAATTTGGCAATTCGAATTCCAAAAATATAAACCTCTAAAAATTTAAAATTGATTTCTTTCAAACCACCACCGATTTTGAGCAACCACTATTAAAAAAAAAGAGGCTTGATTATCTCGCAGTTACTTAGATTGCGACGACTAAAGTCTCACTTGCTAATGTCCTGTCTGACTAAAACTTTCAAACGAAAGTAGTTGTTCCGGTGAGGATTAATAGATGTAAATGTCTCATATTCAATATTTGTTTTTTAATTGTTGCATAGACAGTTCATCGCTGAAAGCCATTTTGCATCAAGGCAAAAAGGAGAAAAAAAACTGTTAAACTCCCTTTATTCCAGTTAGTTATAGTATGAGTAAAATATCGATCGCAACCAAGATTATTTAACAATTATAACATATATTAAACGAAACAAAACTTAAGAAGAACAATGTTTTATTCTGTTTTTTCTTTATATTTTATTTCCTGTTTTTACGTGATATTTTTATTTATTGTGTGTTATTTTATTTGTAGTAATTTTTTTGTAAAAATTTTTTTGAGTGCTCCTCACACTATTGTATTGATATATTTTGCTTAGGCTATATTGATACAATATTAGAAAGCACTCCTTTTTGCGTATATAATAGTGTGAGCAGATAAAAAGATAATATCTTTTATTTTCCGGATTTTTATTTCTTAAAATTTTATCCCCCCCTTTTTTTTCGGATCCTTCCCGGTCTCTTGTTATTTTTATAATTATTTCTCTTTCCCTACCTTTTTTCATTGTTCTATAATTTTTCCATGTTTTCCCTACATTTTGAACTTATTACGTCTTTTTCTTTATCTTATATTACACTTCAGATATATTAATATTACTTGCCAGATTCTTTCAACGTGTTCGTAATACTTGATGGTGGTCGTACATTTTCCCACAGGCAGTCTTCTGCTTCGAAATCACAGTACCCTATAAATACATAACATTGAATCCCGTGTTGAAACTGTAAGTGTTGCATGTTAGTTAATTAAGCAAATTTTCCTTATAAAAAAGTCTTTAAAAACTTAAACTTATCAAAATTTACCAACCTCAAAATTACTGCATACCTGCCAACTTTTGATCCCTTCCATTACGATTTTTCCCTGTGGTAGTAAAATGGAATTAAAAATTCAATTGTGAGCAAAGAAATACGTTGTGTTTGAAGAAACATTAACTGACAACTATGATAGTAGCGCATATTAATATATAAGCTTAATTTTTGTAAGAATAGTGGTGATCAAAATCATTTAAAAATTAAATTTATAAAAGAAAAAATAGTATATATTTACTACCACTTTAAATATGAAAATAAAATCTCCGTTTAAATACGGGAGAGTTGGCAGGTATGTTACTGTATTCTAGGAGATAAAAAAATGACAAGCAATAAAAAATTAAACAAAAAGCAAACTTACACCAGTAAACAATATTCCTTCAAAAAAAAGTTCTTAATAGTTCCCAATTATCCGCAAAACTTCAAGTCTAGGGGGTAATTTTGTCAACAGTGTAACAGTACAGTAATTTTTACAGTACAAACTCATTTTTCGTAAATTTGTACTAACTAAGGAAATACAGTGTCTGACTAATTGATATCCTCAAATAACCTTTGTATAACTTGAAGATGCAGAGATGCCAACTTCTCCGGACAATAAATAAAATAACGGTAAATAACTGCAAAGTATATTTTCAAATATTTGACTATTTTTGCTTTTTTTTGTAAAAGACATAGCTTGACTGATGAACCATAAAGTGGTGAATTATATAAGCCTACCAATTATTTAGAAATAGTGGTGGATAAAAATCAACTAAATTGAATTTATTAAACCAAGAATGACAATTGTTAAACTACCACTTTAATATATATATTTGCTGTCTGGAGCAAGTTGGCATATCTGAAGATGGAACAATTATGAGCACGTATTTTTGTTGGTAGAATTATGAAAGTTGACAAATGAGAAGAACATAAATTGATCTTTGTTTACTAATGCCTATCTCTACAGTCATAGATTGTCCCTCAATAGAATTCACACTCAACCCTAAATGATGGACAGTTGTAAACTTTCTCTGGGTAATTATGAATTCCGAATTTCTCTGTCATTAAAAACTGGATGAAAACATTGAATATCTCATAAACAGCTTGAAATATGTTGAATTTTATACTACTAATCCAATTTTAACTCTAGGTTTACGGGACGCGTCATTTTGACTCATTTCGAATTTGATAAGGAAAATTACAAAACCCGTTTGCATTTTTATTTTATCTCTTGTAATGACTTTTACCCATTGATCGAGGTAAATATATATTGAAGTCTATTTTCTTCAAAAGGGTTTAAATATTGAAATTCTCTTTAAAGTGTACCTATCTCTACGGATATGCGTCAATTTAACGCGATCGTGATTTAGACAAAATTTTGAGTAAACATGCAAACATGACATCAATAATAAATATGAATTTATTAACAATACTTCGATCCGTTATCCGATATCGTTATCTCAAATGAAACAAACGATCAGCAACTGTTGCCGATAAGCAATAATAGAAAGAACAAACGCAGAATGTCAATTGATGTCAGAGTGTCAGATTTTGAAGGTTTCAGTTGCAGTATTGAAAAGTAAAATACTAGAATATTTCATGAATATGTATCTCATATTTTCATTTTTCTACTTATAATGTATAATTACATTGCTTTCTAAGTGCAGAGAGGCCAACTGCTCCGGACACGCCAAAATAATTAAAAAAAACTGTAAATAACTACTAAGTAAATTTAGCAGAGATAAAGTGGTGAATCATATAAGGCAACGAATTATTTAGAAATAGTGGTGGATAAAAATCTACTTAATTGAATTTATTAATACAAGAATCACAATTGATAAACTACTGCTTTAAAATATATATTTACTGTCCGGAGCAAGTTGGCATATCTGTAAGTGCTGTTATATGTTCATACGTCAAATTGATGCGTGTTCGTAGAGATAAGTATATAAGAAACGTCCGTAAACCTAGTGTTAAAGAGTATTTTTCATTTTAGTTCTAAATTGACATATTCCGCCCAATACCTCAAATGCATTTACAATTACCCACTTTTAGCCTCAAATAAAAATAAGTTCTCTCCCTTCATTTGATAAACACCGAAAATAACTACTCTCTCCGCTCCAAATTAGTTTCTAAATTTCAAGTAGGTGGAATCATTGACAATTTCCGACGCAGTTAAGCAGATCGACATCAGTAAAATTTTACTACAAAGAGATTCAGGATACATTAGCTAGAAGATAGTTTTAAGCGAATAGCCTGGTTGGTAGAGCGTTGAGATCATATCCAAGAGGTCGTGAGTTCGATTCCCACTGATCCCACTGGTGTTCAAAATGGTGACTGATGCCCTCTAAATCTGTCATGGTTGCTAAGTCCTCCAAGTTTCCATAGTAAACATATACATCTGGGGGTACTGGATTGGAGATTGGTCGTGCTCTGGTTCAAGTCAAAATTACGATTTGCGAAATGATGGTGTGTGAATATGTCCTTCCTGTAACACGGATTGTGACCAATGTTTGTGACATAAGTCGAAATTCTTGGCCATAGATGATGCCACTGGAAAACAAGAAGCGCTCCCCTCTGCCTTAAAGAAGGCTTGTCAGTATTGACAAGTGGCATAAGACAATAACAAGCGATTGCTGGTGAAAGAGTCCTTACGAAATGGGACGTGGCTTAGAAAAGTACGAACCCTGGATTTTTGAAAGTTTAGTACTGATTTCAAGAGGGAAATAAGGAATGCTTGGTAAATAAATGTTTTTCATTGATAGCATAGCACCTTAAAATTCCTGAAAAATGTTTTACAAAAATCATAAAATCATCAGTATTAATAATTATTGATAATCAACACAAAATTAGTCATATATTGTGACTAATTTTGGACAGAGGGAATATAAGGTCGAAAAAGACACAAAATATTTCGAATAATAAAATTGCACAATAGTTTTAGGCTGGAAAGTGTGAATTAAGCGATTACCTGGATCTGGACATTTTCCTAAATTAATCATCACATCATCAATTGCAACTTGACCGAAACCTTTATATCCAACAGCAACTTCAAAAACCACCTGAAATATACATCAAAAAATAGAATTTTTTGTTTTATTTTTATAAACGCTTCAGATTAACTGCCTGAAATTTGTGCTATATTTATTCATCAGAATGTGCTAAATTTTAGTTATATGTGCTTAGGATTTTTCTTTCATACTTTTCTATTTTAGCCAAAATCTTCTCTCCCAATTGTAGCAAAATTGTGCTTAAATGTGTGCAAAAGTGTGTACTAACTTATTCTCATAAATTTATTTTAATTTCCATTTAAGTGGTTTAATTAATAAATCGTTTTTTTTCTCACTAAAACATTATTTAACAAAGTTATTACCTGCCACGTAGAGGTTTCTGAAACAACAGAGAATCTTGCCCCATGCCAAAGTAGTCCTTGACTTACTGATACTGACCATTCGGGATCTGATACACCATGGTCTGTAGCAATGTATGTATTCAGTGTAAGTTTGCTGATGTTATAGACATGATAATAAAAAGTAAGACAAGTAGCAGTAGCAGATGGTGCGTGTTTTGGGCCGTAAATTCGAGATACTTGAGGTGATCTACTTCCACCGTTAGCTCCAACATACAGATATTTTCCTGAAAACAATTTATTAAATTTTAAGTAGAATGAACTAACCCAAACAACGTTAATTTCCTAAAAACATCAAAAGCTGTCTCAAATTTAATGGAACATTCGCATAATTTCTCTTCGTTTATAGCTATTCTAAACCATGGGATAAATCTCACCCCTCTACTTTTATAAAGCAAATATTTCAGCAGAAAAACAAACATTCTATCTCAGTTCTATAAACAAGAACCTTCTTGTTTATGGAAGCAAGTCTTCTTGTTTAAATAACCAAAACTATAGTTTGTCAGTTTTTCTGCTATTGTTTATACTTTATTTATACTGCTTAGCTTTATTCTTACGCAGTTTAACCCTCTGCGGTCGCACATTTACTCTTAGCCACCAACACTTTTTCATCGTTCTAGTCGTATGTCTGCTCTCAGCCATCACAGCAAAGATGTTAGTCATAGCTTAACGGCAAACTGCATATATTGCGGCTCTCTGAAGATGTAAAGAGTAAAGATTGTTCTGTATGTTCAAACAGAAAAATTAAATGCGGAAGGCGCCAAACTAACTAAAAAAACTAATTAATTATTTTTGTGACACATGCTCTCGAAAACTAGGGCTTCATATTGCATCACTTTGAAAGATACCACACTATGGAGAACTATAAAATATAATTTTTATATAAAATTAAAACATATTATTGTGTTACATATATCTAAAGTTTGAAAAATAATTAATACATTTTACTTTTCCTTTATAATCTTGCATATTATGTTTTACTGCTCGTTCAGCGAAAATTAAATCCGACCTGCATGACACCCATGTATAAACTTAATACGACCGTAAAGGGTTAAAGTGTACACTATTAGCATTTGGTTAGTTTGATGAATAGTCTAAAAAATTAGAGGTTACATGAAAAAACATGAAAAGTCAACCAAGTTAAGCTTGCTGAATAAGCAAAAAATGCAATAAAAATAATTTAATGATGTCTTTTTTCAAAATATTTTCGCATATTAGTCCACTAAGTATGCTAAAAATTCACTTCCAAACCAACAGTTGCATTGTTGGTGAATTAGCAATTTAAATCATAAATTACTAATTATTATTTAGCTTTGAAATATTTTAAATAAATCTTAATATTAAGAACTGTTATTTTTAAAAAAATTAATTGAATTTAAAAGTTTTTATTACCGGATGCTGATTGAGTTGTATGATCCACAATTGCATTTCTTGTATCGTTATCCATACCAGACTTGATGAGCCAATTAAACGAATTAGTTGGATCTTGAGTGTATCCACACCAATCATCTTCAAAAGTACACACTCCTATAAAAGAGTTTTAACGGAATGAACATTCAGTTAAATTAATTCATGTGCTTTTATGGCTCAAAATTTTCAAATGTCTTACTTGCTGGGGGACACGATCCAGCCATGCCATTTATATCATCCAGTGCAACTACACCGGCTTTCACAGAACCAACGATTCTAATCTAAAAATAGTTAATGTCAACAATTAATTTATTTATATTTTTATTATGAGATTTTGTAATTCTTTATTTAGGTTGCGATTTTGGGCAGCGCAACGCCATTTACTTCATCTAATGCAATTATTTTAAACTTAACAAAGGCGATAGTTCTATTGAAAAAACAATTATTGTAAATGTTTGAACTTATTTACATTATTTTAACACACGCAGATTTCACAGAAGAAACTATAATACCAAAAAATTAATTATGGAAAAAATTTATGTTATTTACATTTTTATTATTATAGTGGAAACTTATGCTTCAATTAGAGTTGATTTTGCTTGCCATTTATATGATCTAATACAAATATACCAGACTTCACAGAAGCAATTATTCGAACAAAAAAGGAAAGTTACTGTAAATGTTTTAACCTACCGAAGATCATACATAAGAGATAACTGGAAATTTTTCAGCCAAGCTTTGATGGTTGCTTAAGGTAGTATTAAACTGAAGTACGAAATTGGAGACAGAAGATAAAATATAAGCAATGCAAACATTACTTTAACACTTTTTTCGGTACAGACTTTTGGTGAAACACTAGCGTTCTGTTAGAGCGATTGCTTGAAGAAAAAAAAAGGTAAATATTGCGAGTCATTATCCCATTTTAATTTTTAAACCAATTCTTTTGTTTAAAAAGTAATTGCGATACTTTCTATTAATTACGACCAACTAAAGCCAAGAAGAAAATTTCCCCAAACGAGAGTTTGTTGTTAAAGGCCACCTTTGGTCCGATCACTTATCAAATGTCTTAAATAGCCGCTATAATAGCCGTTATACTGTCCGGTTCTACTTTCCTCCTGTCTTCTGCCTCAATATTTTTTTCCGACGTCCACTTGTGTTAATAGTTCGTCAATTCAGGCATTTACTGGGCAGATATGTTGGCCACTCTTTCAGGGCCAACATATCTGCCTATATTTAGTAGACTAACGTTGCTCCCATAGTGAGGACAGGTAGTACAGAGAACGAAAGAACGTTCATGCCTTGCCCGGGATTCGAACCCAGAACCTTTCTGAGGAAAGGCCAGTTCCCTGACCCCTACACAGTTCAGTCGGCTTCTTCCTCTATATATGTCGGCAAATAAATGCCCCTAAACTTGAAAAGTTGTCTAATTTTGGATTTATTATGTCATTGAACAAAAACACGTTGTAATTATGCAAAGTAGTGAAATTAAAAAAGTTAAAAACTGAAAAGGAACTAAGCATTTACAAAATTTTTTCACAGAAAATTATCAATCAAAAAATATACTCACTGTTGGGCGAATTTTGTCACTTTTGGCGTGAACGTAAATATGTTTCCACTTGTAACTAAATTCTCCTCTTTTATTCCAAACCTCTTTGTATTCATAAGAAAAAATGTATTTTGAATTTTCTACGGTGATTTGCAACCTGAAAGATTAATAAACTGGCTGTAAGATATTTATAGTTTCGAAACTATTAAAATACGATTAACGATGCACAAAAATGGGATAAAGATTAATGACACTGACCAAACTAAAAATAACATTCGACAACAATATATAATTTGTAATCAAGTATATTAGACACATTTTGTAGTTTCACTCAAAACATTTTTCTTGGAGTTGCGCTGATTCGTTTTGTAAGTTCTTGCGGTGTTTTCAACAATGACGGCTTGTAAACTATGTCGTTGCCGTAATCCCCCCAAAAATCCCATCATATATAAGGTCCAGAGATGATGGTGATCATGTTTATTAAGAGTAAATCACTGTCACCAGTATGACCTGGATATTGTATACGATCCACCAAAGCCAAAAATACTACAAGAACTTTTAGAAACGCACCACTGCAGAATCGGGAACCGCTTTCTGAGGAAAACTACAAAATGTGCCAAAATGTAATTTTTTTAAATTAAAAATTAGATGTTTGCCGTGTAAGTAGAAGATGCGAGTAAATAATAGAATAAAAGAAAACAACAACTTGGTTTATTTTTCATTAGTAATGTGAATCATTAATTGTGATATTTTTACAGTTTCCAAATATAAATATTTAAAATATTATCATTCAATTGTACTAACCATGTACAAGGATTTTATTTTATAACCATCGTTGAACAGCAGATTCAATTTTGTATTTACGCTTACCAATGATCAATTCCGTAGCCTTGTAATTTTGAAATACATCCAGAAAACAAGGAAACACCTAGATCAAGGATGGAGAGAAAATTGCCTTCGTGGAGTACTTTTGATGGAATTAATCCGCATCTACGTTACTTGGAAAGGAAAACCACGAAAACCTCCCATGGTTAGCCTCACGGCCAGGGAACTCATTACCCATGATCCGTCTGCCACTCAGGGTATTTTCCGTCAGCTCTGTGGTCGGTGTGAAGCGGGTGCTGAATTCAAATCGACCAGCCACTGCTGTTTGAACCCAGCTCACCTCATTAGAAGGCGAGTGCTCTGTCCCCCTGAGCCATCACTGCTCATATACAATGCAAACACTTTTATACTAACTCTATGTAAGAAAATTTTCTTTTGGAAGCAAATGTTTTTGAAAATTTTGCATCGCTAAATTGTTTGCATAATTTGAAATAATTATGCTTGAAGTTTTTTGAAATGATATTATCTGCATACAAAATTTGCTTTGATCAAAATGTGTGTATGAATAAGCGATTTTTCAATATCGCTTTAATTTAAAAAGCATTCTAATATGCCAGTATGATAACTAAAAATTGAAATTAACTTCCTCTCCTCGTTTTGGTAGATCTGAATTTCATATGGCCAAAAATGACACCATTTTTGAAAGCTTCAATCGAAATCTTTCAAATTTTGCCATGTAAAATCTTTCAAAACACTTGCTGCTAAAAGAATCATTGTTCATAGATGTAATTTTGAAGTGCTTCAATTCTTTTATTTACCACCTGTTGGTGTTCTGTTTTCAATTTGAGCACTGTAATTCAATTTATGTAAATTGAAAACAGTTTTTGGTTCCGATGAATTGCTTAAAATAACTATATCTTTCTGGATTTTGTCATGAATTTAGAAACGTTTCACGACCGTGTAACTCTGAAGTAGTAAATCATATTTCTTGGGGCATGTATTTATCATATTTGTGGGGGCTTGTTCTGTTTTTCATTTTGAGCACTGTAATTCGATTTATGTAAATTGAAAACAGTTTTTGGTTCTGATGAATAGCTTAAAATAACTATATCTTTCTGAATTTTGTCATGAATTTAGAAACTTTTCACAACTCTGAAGTAGTATATCATATTTGTTGGGGCATGTATTTATCATATTTGTTGGGGCTTGTTCTGTTTTTCATTTTGAGCACTGTAATTCAATTTATGTAAATTGAAAATAGTTTTTGGTTTTGATGAATAGCTTAAAATAACTATATCTTTCTGAATTTTGTCATGAATTAGAAACGTTTCACGACCGTGTAACTCTGAAGTAGTATATAATATTTGTTATAGTAGTATATTCTCTAATGTGAAAACTGGTTTTCTGATTAAGCAGTCTAAATAGTTTTTAATTTAAAGAAACAGTGTAGGTTTGAGTTCTATAATGTCATACTTTGAGTGGATAACATAGCTGTCAATTATAACGATTTTTGATAAAGGTTATGTGCAGTGTTAGTTGAAAAACAGACTAAAAGCGTTATAAAGTTACTATAATTTTTTTAAAAATTTTGTCAGACTTTTACACATACTAGGCATAATTTTCAGGTTTCTTCCATATGTTTCTTAAATGTTTAATGTTGTGGTGTTTAAAGTAATTTTAAATCAAATTTTTTTAACACAGTGTCAATATGAGCATAAAATTGACCACCTCTAGAAAACATATTCGTAAAAATCGCTAAAATCCTACCATAATTATTAAAATAAGCATGGGGGATGGGATAGGGGCAGCTGCACGACCCATGAGCCCAATTCAAAAATCAAGACAAGACTAGATCAAACCTATAAATTATGTTTAGTTTTTATCTTAAATAATAATTGATAAAAAATATGAAGCCGATTTTTCTTTTAAATAGTTTATAAAGAAATGGGTTAAATTGTTTAAAAATTCGGTTTAGTTCTTTATTTTTTAAAAATGTTAGAGCAGCAATGCTACATTAACTGGAATGTCAACTATTCCGTTCTCAGAAAAAACTTAAATAAAGTGTTAAAACTTTAATAAAATATTAATAATTCAAACTAAAAATTAAACTTTAATTATTAATAATTTAAACAAAACTAAATGAAATTATTGCAGAATTTCAGTAAATTTCAATATTTTAAAATAGCTCAGAAAATCATTATTCACTCACTACGATGCTGTTATAAAGTTTCATTTTATATGAATTTCGATTTAAACATAACTTTAACTGCGGACAAAGCAGAGTCAGCTGGAGCCTCTGTATTAACCAAAATAGCAGATCCTATAATAATCTTTCGAAATGTACTTAACGGTATTAAATACCTTTTACAACGTTAGAATTTTCATTTTAAAGTTATGGAAAAATAACGGACAGTAATCTGTCTAACCAATTTACCATAAAATATACGTTAAAGAACACTTTTTACCTTTACTGTTTTGAAACCGTTCGCAACTAAACTAAACTAAACTCAGAGGCGTAACAGCCCTAGAGGGCCAAGGCCTACTGTGCCCATCTCAGTTTTATTGATCTTGGGCTCTGGGGTGCAGGAGCAGATGTTCCGGTCAGGTGGTCAGCCGAACGCAGAACCCCCAGTGTTTAGTTCCCAAGCATGCTTGATACTCATTTATCAACCCACTGAAGGGATGAAAGGCTGAATCAACCTTGCCCGGCCCAAGGATCAACCAGGGACCTGTGGCACGACAGCGCGAAGAGCTACCCCTCAGCCACCGGGTGTCGCCGTTCAAAACTAGTATGGTTAAAACCATGAATACAAAACTATATAAGATTTTATAGACAAAATATTTCGGCGTCAAAGTTGGGATTCGAATGCCCGTTCTGATGGTCATGAGATTAACAGATTAGCCCCCTTGGCTATACCATCTGCAACGAACTAAGTGACTGTTGTTCTAGTTGATGCGATAAAATTCTAGTTGTTTAACCGTATTATGTTACTGCACAATTAATAAAAGGTTTTTCTCTCAGTTTAAATACCATCTTATTTATAGTTATTAAACTGTTTTGTTTGAATAAGTCAAAATAACAGTTAAATAAATTGTTATTTAACAACTTTTTTCCGAAAAACAGTGTATAGAACTGATGTGACAATGTATAAGAAGTTATAGATATATCTTCAGTTGTATGCTAACAATTTTGAAAACTTCGTCTAAAAGTTAAGTTATTATCTCCCAATAAAATCTCATATAAGCTTATGACTTACTTGTCACCTCCATCGGCATCCATATAATACCAAACACTCAGGCAGAAATCTCCTTTCCACTCCGCTGGCAGCTTGGAGCTAGTTAAAGTTGATGATCTTGTTATCTTATTGTCTCCTTTCAAATACACATAACGCCCTAGTGTTCCAGAGAAAAAATCATCATTATGAATACAGAAGCTAATATTGAGGAGCTTTAACCCCTTGACATTTACAAATTTCTTGATACAGAAATGATATTTAAAAGCACTGTAAACAACAACGGAATGTTGCCAGAGATGCCAACTGCTCCGGACATGCCAAAATAATAATAAAAAAATGGTAAATAACTACAAACTAAATTTTGCAAATATTTGACTATTTTTGGTTGTTTTTTAAAAGGTATAGCATGGCATAACTACTATAAAATGGTGAATTACACTGAAGAGCCAAGAAAACTGGTACAGGCATGAGTATGCAAATAAAGGGGTATGGAGACAATCAAAGTACAGTGCTGCGATCGGCAACGCGTATATAAGACAACGAGTGTCTAGCACAGTTCTTAGATCGGTTACTGCTGCTACAATGCCAGGTTATACAGATTTAAGTGAGTTTGAACGTGGTGTTATAGTCTACTCACGGGAGATGGGACATAGCATCTCCGAGATACCAATGAAATTTGGATTTTCACGTACGACCATTTCACGAGTATACCGTGAGTATCGGAAATCCACCAATATCCCCAGACATGAACATTATTGAACATATTTGGGATGCCTTGCAATGAGGTGTTCAGAAGATATCCCCACCCCCTTTTACTCACACTGGTTTATGGACAGTCCTGCAGGACTCATGGTGTCAATTATCTCCAGCACTACTTCACACATTGATCGAATCCATGCAACGTCGTGTTGCGGCACTTCTGCGTGCTCGCGGGGGCCCTGCACGATATTAGGCAGGTATACCAGTTTTTTTGGCTCTTCAGTGTATATAAGCCTACGTATTATTTAGACACAGTGGAGGATAAAGAACTACTTAATTGAATTTATTAAACCAAGAATCGCAATTGATAAACTACCACTTTAAAATATTTATTTGCTGACCGGAGCTAGTTGGCATCTCCGCGTTGAAGACGTCTGAGACACGTCAATTATTTTTTTGACTTATGGAACAAACGACGTTTCCCAAACGTCTTTGTATGTCAACAGGTTAACAGTTTCAGGAGCCAAAGTTCCATTCTTGGAACATGTCTCTTTTTCAAATTGTTAAAGACTGGTAACTGAAATCTTTCAATCTCAGCACTTAAAATTGGAAAAGCTGAATATTTCTAACAACCAGAATATATTAATAATATAAATTTATATATTATCTGCACTGTGCAGAGATGCCAACTTAGTTTTTTATTAGTTATCTTTACAGCCTTTTAGCCCTTTTTTTTTGCTGGTTTGGTTAGGGAATTGCGACTCACGACTCACGCTGTTTATCAATCGCAGCTGCTGATCTAGAATATGGCCACTTATCATCACCACGGACGTGGCGGAAAGAGACAAACCGAGACTCAAACACGAAACTCAACGATACAGGAGATACAACGATGGATGGAAATTCCACATGAGGAATGCGGACGTGGCGGAAAGCGTCAAACCGAAAGCCCGAGACGTAATCCTATGACGATTGAACCACCCACGGATCCTATGGAATTAGAGATATATGAGAGAATGATGGAAGCATACGGGAAAATAAACAGTGAAGCNGCACCACATCGGATTTCAATAAATTGTTCGATATTGATATAATCAGTGATAATTCGAATTTCAGCCCAATTACCGCCTTTTTATGCTCAGACTGCATACTATCAAAATACTATTAACTTTATCATACAACTCTACTCAAGGGGATCTCCCCAATCCAAAGATGATTTTCCCTTCAAAACTAAAGATTTACTCCTTAAGGACTTGACTTGTTGTTACAACATACTACAACTTCAAAGATATATAGGACCTCCCAGAATACAACAAAACAGAATCGATGAATCGGTTAGTGGCGCTTCGCGCCAAACGCCGAGATAACCCCAATATCCAGCATCCAACCAACAATTATGTCTAGTTAAATTATTTAAAAAATTTGCAAAATTATTCAAATGTTTGTAAATTTTAGTTTGTAGTTGTTTACCGTTTTTTAAATTATTTTGACCTGTCCGGAGCATTTGGCATCTCTGTCTGTATACCATTCTGGAATAGCTTTAAAACGCTTATTATACAAATTTTTTCTTTATTTTCTATAATCCTCACTGACTGTTATGGCCACGATGAATGAGCAAAGGCAATGATTGATAAGTGAACTCTATTATAAAAAAGTTGCTATGCTTTTTATCCTCACAAATTAGGTGTTAGTAGTATTAAATATTATTATAATTTTTAAATAAACATTCAGCTACTTTTTTGTTAAAGGCACTTTTTCCATTACTGGAAAATAAGAATCTGGCTGGTAAACGGCTTATAGTTTTGATCTTACTGCAAAAGATTTTTTACTGTTTGCTATGTTCAGACTTTAATATTTATTTAATTATTTTCTATATAAAGGTGAAAGTTGCTATTCAAGACTGGTTATTCACTATGGAGGTAGATTTCTATGACTAAGGCTTACAAAAGCTTGTAGAATGTTATGACAAATGTTTAAACAAATCTATAAGTATAAAATAATTGGAACTTTGTTTTTTTACTTATTTTCGGATGTCAATGTTTGGGCGTTGAAAACTATCAAGTTATGCTTTTTTTAATTATTTATTATTTTTATTAGAAAATATAAAAATCTTTAGAACAATCATTTAATAATAAACATTAAATCACGAAATGCAAAGATATGCATATAGACCCATTTACCATATGAATAAGTATTAATCCTAGTCTATTCATGTTAGTGCTAGTAGCTTACTTGCCAACTTGCACGGTCGTTGAAAAGTATTTTACAAAGTGGTGCAATTAAGTTTGGAAGAATTTTTTAAAACAACGTTATTAATACATATACAAGTATAAGTATAATTAGCCAACAAATAGATCTTACTGCAGTGGTAGCTAATAGGAATTACGGTAGTTAATGATTTAAATTTGCCACCATATAACATTTTCTATGCACAATTTTGCCAGGTCTCTTATTCTTGTTAAAAATAATTTATAGCGATGATCTAAATCATAGTAAATTTAAATTTATTAAATCGAAAGTAACAAGATAAAACCTAAGCCTCTGTCAAAAATTATAAAATAAATACCACTAGAGAGAGAAAAATTGGCAAACATGTCACTGAAATCAATGAAGAAATATGAAACATCGTAATTACTCACCTAAATAATTTCCCTGGGTATGATCAAAATTTGGCATTCTGTCTTTACTTTGTTTCGGAACACTTGTTTTCCAAATAACTTTTGATCCCTCGGCAGTCCATGAACATAGATTCCCATCGTCAAAATTACAATAAATGTCACTAACTAAAAAAAAATATCTATATATATATTGGGGGTCCGGAAAGTAATGTCGTTTCGGTACATTTGATATTTGTTATCTAGATTTAATTTCTTAATCAAAAATGTATTCACCCTCGTTAGCAACAACCTTTCAATGCCGGGTCGAAAATGACTCGAAATAGATCGAAACAAATGAATTGGTTTATAAGACTGACGAATATTTAATGTGCCGAAACGACATTATTTTCCGATCCCCTTAATATATATGAGTTCATTTTTAACATGCATTTTGAGAATCGTTGAAAGAGTTATTACTTTTTTCATCAGAAGGTCTCCACAGGGTTTTTAACAAGTTGTCTGTGCAAACTAAAAGTGTAAATAAGTGTAACATCTATTATAAAAATACTCGAAAGAAATTTATCTTACTTTATTTATAAATTTTCTAAAGTGAAATGTCATGGTTGGCAAAGAAGTAAGGCAATCCAATCATATTCATTAATTAAGCAGATTTTAAGATGTATATATGCTACCACTCTCTTATTTTTACTAGATGATCTATTAAATAGCTTTAATGTAAAATGTTTTACTTGCACGATGGTCAGATCATCAATTATGTCTTCTTTTTTTTTCAAAAATCAATTATTGTACATATCAAATCATGTTTTATCTATATTTTTAATTTAAGTCTACAATCAATATTTCTAGTGTTATGTAAAAACGTCAATTTGTCATATTGAATTATTTCATTGTTTTATTATTTCACAAGCAAACGGCTTGACTTTTTTATGGCTACCACAATGTTTGCCAAATCAATGTATTTTACCTTACTGTATGTAATTTAATGATGAATGGGATAGGGGTCGCTTCGCGGCAAAGGGGCCCAGTTTATTTAAATAAAGAAAGAATGGTCAGATCGGACTACCTTTAACCCTTTGGCGCCGACTGTCACAAATACGTGCCAGCTTAAAACCGCATCAATCAGGGTAAGAAGATAGAACTGGTAATCAAAGTAATTCTTTAGCAGTTTATTTGTGAACGGGGTAATGATAATTTGCTTTATTTAATTCACCACTACTTAGTTTGAATTAAAAATTGCATAGTTACACTTTTAACACGCATTATTGGATGTGTTAGATTTCAAGTGAAAGCAAACATAAATCTGTCAAATTAGCTAAGCGAAAACTTAAGCTACCGCTTTTTATTTTTTGCTATCCTGATACTGATTCCTTACAATTACATATATGACTCGCTCGTCCCGAAAATTTTAAGAAACCATGTTGAGGCTTTCAGCTAACACGTTCACGCTGAGGTGACCCACCGGTGGGTCACGTTAGATTGTCTCATCTTGGCAGCGCACCGAAGTAAAAACTGGTAACAATAAATTTCATTTTTCAGTTTTTTTCCGGGAATAATGAAAATCCATTACTACCAATTGTTTTAAACGGATGAAATTTTTATATTTAATTGCTTCTTCGCCGTGATAAATTTCTTTACAATCAATTGTTATTATTGAGAATAGATTAACTCCTCCCGAATATTATCTAATATTGAAATAGTTCTTCTACCAGTATTTTCTCTTTTCCTGTACCAGTATTTTCACTTTTCCCGGCATGTACGTGTTGAAGGAGGCGGTGGTAGTGATATGTTCTCATACCTGGCAACTTTTAATCCCTGCCATTATCATTTTTCCCTGTGGTATTAATATGAAATTAAAACTTCAATTTTAAGCAAACAAATACGTTGCATTTGAAAAAACTTAAATTGACAACCATGACAGTAACGCATATTAATATGTGTGCTTAATTTTTGTAAGAATAGTGGTGATCAAAATCATTTAAATATTAAGTTTATAAAAGAAAAAATAGTATATATTTACTACCACTTTGAATATGAAAATAAAATCTTCGGGAAGAGTTGGCAGGTATGTTATATGCATCAAGTGCGCCTACAAACCTAAAATGTATGTTAACGATAGAAAAATAAAAGCTTTAATTTTATTGTTGTGAAATTTACTATATAACCGTAGAATAATCACACAGGTTTCTGAAATCAACATTTAATTAATTAAAAAAAAAGGAATTTGGAATACGCAGTTATAAAAAACATTCCACACTAAAATAGATTAAAATAGACTAAAATAGTTGGCAGGTATGTGTTCTCAATATTTCAGAAAAATAAAGAAAATTCTCATGAATCATCATCAATTTATGAAGTTTAACCGGTTAATGCCCAGCGTCATATATTTAGGACAGTTCCTTTTTTCAAAAACATTCATTGTGGTCGGAAACTTTTTTCAGCATTTTCATTTATCTGGGTGAATTAAGAGATTCTCAGATACCACAATGATTTAGTTATTTCTGATTAGATCTAGAATTATAAGGAGCAAACACTTTTTGGTCTATCAAAGACTTTTTGAATGCCCTAACAGTAAAAAAAACAATTAATTTCGAAAATATATTATACCAATTTTTCCATAAAACCACTTTTTATATCATTTCAATATATAAATTCGGAACAAAACGGGTTAATCATTTAGGATTCCATTGCAGAAAATAATTAGGAACCATTGCATTAGAATTTCACGCATGTTATTATAGTTACATTAGGCGGTATACTATAAATGTAACCAGTATCTAAATACTTAGGTACGAAATTACTAAAAAACTACAAATTACTTACGAGGCATTTGAGTAACAGCATCTGGAATATTTGAAGACGATTCTAGAAATAAGTAAATAGCCATAATTAGGAATTTTAAAATTAAAAAAAAAAGGATAAATCTTAAACTTTTATGCACAAGAATATTTTTAATATTAAAAAAGTACATCTTCTATAAAAACTCATAATTCACTTTATATAAACTTTTGAAAAAAATAAAACAGCAGCATCGTTGCATAGGCAGTAAAAAAGTATTGTCGGTAGACTTGACAAATTTGCCTTTTTTAAGCTTTCCAACTATTTGTTTTCTTCAAATTTATACTCTTTAATAGGTATTTTTTCTAAATGCCCTTTTCATTAACGTGCCTTTTAAAATTTAAAAACAATGTTTTGCATTAAAGTAGTCTGTTTTAATACCTACCGACATTTGCACATTTTTTGGAATGTTATTACAATAATAGAAAATTTACAATGATAATTCTAAACAGTTTATTTTCAGGTTCATTAAAACCTAAAGTACCTATCAAATGATTGTCAAACCTTTATAATCTTTGATTAAATTATTTACTTACAATGGTGATCAAAATCATTTATAATCAAATTTTGAAATGAAAAAAGTATCTCAAAAACATAACTGTTAACTTTTTCTAAGAATAATTTTTTTCCAGTGGTAGTGAAGTAAAAAAAAAAGTCACTTTTATACTTTGACAAGGCTTTAATGTACATTTTTCCAAAAATCCTACATTTAAATATATGTTCAGTTTAATAATTTGTAATGGTGGTTAAAATTATTTTAAATTAAATTTATAAATTATAAGTTGAAACTGAAAAGCGTGAGTTTTGCTATCACTTTAAATATAAAAATAAAGACTGGTAAATCCAGAAGAACTGACAGCTATGCAAAGGTGGTCCAAAAGAGGAAGTTATTGCACGCTCAGCGATTTTAAAGTGCCCGAAGGAGCTATAAGACCATATTATTCGGCCAATTCAATTCCGGTACCTCAACAAATTACGCCTGAAACGCCGACTACTTCAGCTGACACCCCAGCTATGGAAATCAACGACGGAGACCAGTATACGGAACAGACCTCTGACTCAGAAAGTATTTTCAAAAACAACACAGAACCTCCTACAAAGAAAAGGAAACAGAAGAAAAAGCCAGCTGATGTCAAAAAAGCTGAAGATAATTACGCAATCACGACTACAAATAGCTGCTCTTCTTCACTGCTAGAGACCTCCACTATCTTAGCACCATCAGAATCCAAAGAGTATTTCAACAAAGCTCCAGATCCACCCACAACTTCAGTGAAAGTTCTACATAACAAGTTTACAAAAGTTTTAATCCGTGGACTACCACTTGACTTCAAAACAGAGGATATTTCCATTGAATTAGGGAAATTAAACATCGAAACCCACAACGTAATACAGTTTAAAAGAAGAGTGGGCGGGACCTACAGGCTCCTCCCACTTTTTCTCACAATCCTTAGAGTAACGGAGAATCACCGGCAAATTTTCACCATCACAGACATGCAGCGGATTCCAGTCCGAGTAGAACGTTTTCGTGGCGGTCGGGGACCGCTGCAGTGTTTTAATTGTCAGGAATATGGCCACGCTCAACGGACATGCAATGCACCTCCCAGATGCGTGAAATGCGCTGATAACCACCGATCCTTCGATTGTCGTAAGGATAGACTCACACCACCAAAGTGCTGCAACTGTGGAGAAATTCACACCGCAAACTACACGGGATGCAAAGCCCGCCCCAGCAGGAAGGGCCCTTGTGCTGTTCCTTCCACACCAGCTAAATTGGCTCACAGACTTGTATCACTAGTGAAAGAGCTGAAAGACCTACTAAAAAATGAAGAAGTGATTCGTCTTTTGCAAAGGATCCTAGGGTAGACCGCTCTAGTTCAGTGACATTTTATTTCTCATTTCCGGATTTTTCATTCAACATTGAACTCTAAATTCTAGACTTTCAATATATATCTTAATTAAACGTGTGCCAGCTAAATGTAGAAATTTAATATTTATCAATTTCTGTTTATACTTATTCATGTCAACCTATGTATATGTAATACAAATTATGTTTAGATTTAAATATGTCAACAGGTGTCAATTTAGATTCGATATTCAAATGCTATATTTACTATATTTATTTATGTCAACCTACGTATATATATTTCCAATTATGTTTATATTTATATGTGTCAATTTAGATCCGATATTCAAATGATATTTATCTATGTCAACCTATATATATATATATGTGTGTATATGTATATATATATATACATATATATATATATATTTCAAATCATGTTTATATTTATATGTGTCAATTTTAGTTTCGATATTCAAATAATTATTTACCCAAGCAAAGTGCTTGTAATTTTGTATTAGCTACCACATCGACTGCTAAATTCAAAATGTTATCACTTTAAACTTATGTATATTTCTAGATGTATGGGATAGGGGCCGCTGCGCGGCCCAGGTGCCCAATTTTTTTATAAATAAAGTAAGTAAGCTATGCAAAGGCTTGATTGTCGATGCCGCTTTAAATGTGTGCAGTTCGCAAACAATTAAATGGATCGCCATGAATAACTTTTGATCTAATAGTTGGATCTTCACGTTGTAAAACTGTAAGTTAATAGGTCGAGGGTGTGACCTCAGATATGCTAATTAATTAGTGTAATTGTAAATTACGACATTCGACACAAAAACGTACATTATCTGAATAAAACATACCTTTTTTACTGATGGATTCGGATTTCTGACCCCCAAAATATAGGGGTTAGCCACAATATGGAAAATATGGTCAAAATAGTTTGACAAGGAGAGCGGTCCAAAGTTTAGACCCCTTAAAGTTAAATTTACTTTTTTCATATTTCGTCATATCTCGAGAACTTTTAAGCAAATTGAAACCATTTCTCGCCCAATTATAAAAATTTTTTATCCTAAGATAATTCAATAATTCCATGCAAAATATAACTTTCAGTAAATTATTCTTATTTTTTATTATTTCACTTAAATTAGTCGAAAATATTTTGAATTGTAAGGTATACAAAATTTAATACCATTTTGAAGAATGTCATTTTAAATGGCAAAATGCAAAATTCAGCGAAATCTGTCGAATAGTTGCTGAGTTATCGAATTTTGAAAAAGTCCTTTTCGTCGAACTTTTCGGATTTTTTTCATTCCATCAAAAGTTATTTAGGGTGTTCCATCTATTCTTTCTGCGCACTCTACATATTAAAGAAACATTTCAAAAAAACTGTGAACATTAATGGCAAATATTTAATTTTTTACACTGCTGAAAATGGAAATTTTTCTGTTGTGTAACTGTTCTGTTCTGTGGTTTTTTAAAAAAAACATATATTTTTGTTATAGAATGTGGAAATATCACACAGTCTCTTCTCATCCCCATAGTATTAAAACTGCAATGTGTAAAAGTTAAAAATTATTAACATACCCGCTAACTTTTAAACTTTTCAAAGATTATTTTCCCCATTAGTAATCGAAGAAAAATTGAATTACAGTAGTAAGCGGAAATATACTTCACGTTCTGTAAAAACTTCAACACAACATAACGCGATTATGTGTTTATAAATGTGTTTAATATATCTATATATTTGATAGATTGTGTGTATATAGAAAGTGTTAGTATCAATATGAATCCATAATTTTATCCAGTCTCAGTATGTCTATAAGTTTGACCATTTTTATGTAAACTACATTTTTATGTGAAAAAAAAACACTCTGTATGTCTATATGCATGACCATTTTTATGTAAACTACATTTTTATCAGGTGCATCTCAATTAGTTAAGTTATGATTTAAGTTAATCTCAATTAGTTAAGTTATGCTTAAGTCTCAATTAGTTAAGTTATGCTAGAAGAAATTAAGCAATGTCAATGAAGAAACAAACCACTGTATGTCTGTATGCTTGACCATTTATATGTAAACTACATTTTTATATGAAAAAAAACACTCTGTATGTCTATATGCTTGACCATTTTTATGTAAACTACATTTTTATCAGGCGCTTCTCAATTAGTTAAGTTATGCTTTAAGTTAATCTCAATTTGTTAAGTTATGCTAGAATATATTAAACAATGTCAATGAAAAAAAAACACTCACGTTCTAAGATTTTAAAGTTAGAAACCAGTTAGTAGCAAAATCTTAATTATACATATATGAAAAATTGGTTTTAATACATTAAAATTTACCCGCACTTACCTGAAAAATGTAATCCAAATAAAATGATTATAAACGAAGCCTTTTTAAGCATTGAAATCATGATTCTTTGTAATTTAACGATGCACATTATCCGTTATCCTTCATTGTTATCGATGAGTATATTTCTCACAAAATTTCAAAAGCAGGAAAATTGAGAAAAAAATTCTAATAACGTTTTAAAAATGAAAAAACAAGACAGTTTTTCAACAATTATAATTATCAAAAATCCTTGAGTAGTAAGCAAAGTGTTTGACTACTATTTAGTAAAGTTAAGGGAGTAATGATATTCGTATTTCTGAACATTGTTTGGTAGTTACAAAGATAACAAGTTATTGTTTTAATCTTTTCGTGTTGATAATAATATACACGAATTCAATTGATATTTCATGTAAGAATTCAATAGATTTTTCATATAAAAGAACAGTTATTGTTCGATCAGATAACTCGCAGGAAATGATAACTAAAAAGAAACTGATAACGACAAATATTCTTAAAAGAGAAAGAACATCAATTTTAAATAATCTCAATCTCAACGATACTTAGAATTGTTGAGTGACAAAGAATGAAATATTGTATATTCTCTTTGTTGATTTTTATATGTTGATTTTTCTTTGTTGATTTTATTAATTGACTTTTCCCAACTCCTTGATGTCTTACGATCATTTTTAAAAATTCTCTCACAATTCATCGGTGAACTTTTAATATTTTTGGACATAGTTCAAAATGCGTATTTAAAAAAATGTACCCAACTCTAGAAATAGCTATTTGAAAACATGGATATAGCTCCTTGAAATTCATGTTTAAGAACATGGACGCAGCCCCTTCAAATGCGTGTTTAAGAAAATGGATACAGCTCTTTGAAATGCGTGTTTAAGAAAATTAACACAACTCCTTGAAATGCGTGTTTAAGAACATGGATGCGTGTTTAAGAACATGGATACAGCTCTTTGAAATCCGTGTTTAAGAAAATTAACACAGTTCCTTGAAATGAGCGTTTAAAAAATGGATGTAACATAAAATGCTCGTTCAAAAAAAAAAGAACATGGCATTTGATTTCGTATCGATCGAAGTCAATTTCCTTAAGTACGCATTTTGAGCCATATACTAAATAAAAGCCTCACCGATAAAATGTTTTTTTTATTTTCACTTTTACTATTAATTTTTAATTCTCTGTGAAAATAACTTTAGATGAAAACAAGCGTTATGTTAATGATACTGTAAATTTTTTATTGGAGTACCAGTTTATCACTTTCGTTATGGCAGTGCTGTTACGCCGAAATGACACCACTGAACGGTGCAATACGCCGCCAAAGGTGCACATAGGGTTGTCGGTTAGTTTAATGTTAGTACTATTAAGTGTTATATAACAATATATTTTGAGATTTTGCATTTGTCAGAAATATAATTGCAGCCCTGCTAACTATTCCTCTTTTTGTGGAAAATATTTTTCTAATATTTAGTGTGGTAGCAAAATTTATACATTCATACTTTATGTTTATTTGAATAAATGTAATTAAATTGAAGTTAACCCTTTCGGAATAGGCGAGTCATAAATGTATTCGTTAGGAATCAGTATGGTAAAAAGTAAAAAGTGGTAGCTTAATTTTGGGCATAGCTAATTTGTCAGATTTATTTTTGCTTTCACTTTAAATCTAACACGTCCAATCCATGTGTGTTAAAAGTGTAACTATACAATTTTTTATTCGAACTAAGTAGTGGTGAATTAAATTACTATCATTACCCTACCCCATACCCTCCAACTTATGAGGATTTTGAAAATAATTCTTTCTAGTGGTAGCGAACCAAAGTAGAAATTTTTAAAGCAAATGGATCTCTCATAAAACTTTTATCAGAACTTAAGAATCTAGCCATATGGCCTGCACTTTTATAAGTAATAGTGGACAAGTTACGCTAAAATTAATTTTTTTTAAATATTAAGACATTAATTTTGCTACCGTTTGAAAAGAAGATTTCTGAAACTACGGAAATTCCGTAGCAGTTGGAGGGTATGCCCTACCCACAAATAAACTGCTATAAAAATAGTTTTATCTTTTTTTACCCTGGTTATCGCCACCCTGAGAATGCATATTTGATTTGCCCGTCTCGAAGAGATTAAAATTTTTATAGTTAACTAGCTGTGTCTCTCAAGGATTTCACAGGTAACTAAAAGTGTAAAACGTGGTGATTAATAAAAAGCGAAAATAAATTAAATAAGATTACAGTTAGAAACATCTATGTAGTTTTTTTTTCCAGCTTGCGATTGAAAATGCCAGCAAATAACTTTTTCTCTTTATACATGAACAATTTACAATATAAATCATGATGGTATTTATGTTTGGACAATTCAATAAGTTTAAATACCAAACATGAATTAAGAGCTTTTACTACATCTTACATTTTTAGCAGTCTGTGGTATCCCTGCTCTCAGTAAATGTGTTAAAGTGATCTCTAACGTTCAGCAAAAAGCTAGATAAAAAACTTTTTTGACAGGCATAACAGATGGTAGACATGGAAAAGTGATCGGCTTATAAAACAAATTTAACACATTCATATTTTAGTTTTGGTGTTATTATTACAAAATAGGTAAATAGTCCCCCACGAAGGCAAATTTCACCCAATACTTGATCCAGGAGTTTCCTTGTCTTCTGGATGGGGCTTAAAATTTCAAAGCTACGGAGTTGAACAGTGGTTGTCGTAAACTCAAAATAGGGTCGGCTGCTCAAAGACGGTTATAAAATAAAATATAGGTGAATAAGGCGAGCTAGTTCGATTCCCAGCAATGGCTGGTTGATGCGAATTCCGCACTCGGCTCACACCGACCGCAGGGTTGACGTAAAATATCCTCAGTGGTAGACAGATCATGGGTTAGAGTCACCTTGCCGTCAGGATAACCGTGGGAGGTTTTTAACTCCATGTAGTTCAAATACGGGTTAGTTCTGTCAATAAGTATTCCACGAAGGCAAATTTCCCTCAATACTCGATCCAAGAGTCCCCTTGTCTTCTGGGTCGGGTTCAAAGTGACAAGGTTTCGGAGTTGAACTTTGGTAGTCGTAAAATCAAAATTTTGGCGACTGTTTAATGATGGTTATGAAATAAAATATAGGTAAGTCGAATATTAGCCAAATGCAGTTTGAAAAAAGTGTGAGAGTGTAATCAAAAGATATCACGCTGACTCCAGGCAAATATGGCACCTGAACACACAGAGCATCGCTTGGATGCCGGATAAATACGACTCTTGTTCAAACAAGGCAGCGAGTGGATGCCGGCTAAATACAACACTCGTGCAAGCAGGGCATCGCTTGGACGCCGATTAAATACGGCGGTCGTACACACCGGGCGTCGTGTGGAAGTCTATCAAACGGCACTCGTACACACAGGGCAACGCTTGGATGTCGATTAAATACGGTGTTCGTACCCATTGTTTTTTTTTAGCAGAAAATTATTCTAATGAAATCGATAGTAAATTTTTCTCGAAATTTGAAGACCAATTTGTAATATTACGCGAATTTTTACGAGTGCAAACTTTACATGAGTAAAAAGAGCATCATTTTTCAAGCTATCAAACATTATCTTTTGAACTGTGCCAGCAATTTTTACATGTTAAATTTCCCAAAAACATTGCTGCTACAAGAAAGATTGTTTAAAGCTTATATAGAAATTTTTAAAATCTTTGTCATGGTTGGTTGGTTGGTTTCGTATGCCTGTTTAGACAGAGGGTTGCTATTGTTCTTGTTTTCCAGTGGCGCCATCTGCGGCCAAGAATTCGACTTCTGCCACACTCATTCGTCGCACCCGTTTATAGGGCGGATCCATTCATACACCCATTCAATCATCCACAGATCGTAATTTTGATCTGAATCAGAGAACGATCGATCTCCAATCCAGTACCCCCAGAGGTTTTGATTTGTTATGGGAACATGGAGGACTTTGCGAATCGACAGATTTAACGTGCATCAGTCACCATTTTACTACACAGGGAGTTTTCAGCCGGCGGTGTTCGAACCCATGTACTCTCGGACATAGGCCAAGCACCCTACCGACCAGGCTATCCCGGCCAAATCTTTGTCATGTTACTGTATTTTGAAGCCAATTTCTATGGCTACTAAGTGGTTCATAAATTGCCCCAGCCCCTTAATTTTTCAGCATCAAGTTTTAAGTTTTTAACTGAATATTTCTTTTTCCGGATATTGAAAGTAGTTCCAAATATATAACCTTCAACAGCAACAGTTTTGTTTGAAATTGATTTTAAACTCCTACAGACATACGGAAATTTAAAAAAAAACAAAGGAAAATGGCATGTTAAGGACTCAATTGACATGTTAAGGTAGATTGGCATATTTATGCATCTGGGTTGTTTTCATCATCACCACTAGATTAGCAAGATGACAAATTGCCTAGCAGAGGTATAAAATTTTATGTTTAACTTCTTCGGGGAATGGGCGTCATGAATACATTCGTACAGAATCGAAATCAGGATAGAAAAAAAATGCTTATTTGTGAAAATGTGGCGTGAGAATAGGGGTGAGAGTACAGCTAATTTGACAGGCTTATTTTGCTTTCATTTTAATCAATCAAGTTTAATCACATATCTAATCTATGTTGATTCAAAGGGCAACTATATGATTTTTATTTTGAATTAAATTAATAAAACTATTACTATCGAGCCCACAAATTATCTACTAGTTTTATCTTTTTTACCCTGATTCAGAACGTTTCATTCGAGTACGTGTACGTGACAATCGGGGCGAAAGGATAAAATGTTTGATTTTTAGTTTTTTAAACTTATGTGCCCACCTATAAGATAAAATGTTTAAAAAAATTAGCATTAAAAATCTCTTCACTATTGTTAATCTGACGCTTTAAATTTAATCTCCCTAAACCACGACATTTCTTAGCACTACCCTACTAGTATCGGATGAATCTGCAAAAGGTTTCGTACTGGTAAATAAAAGAAAGACATTAAACAGATCCAAGAAATACATCAGAGTAAGATGCCCTACACGTTAATTAAAATTATGCAAGTTTTAGGTTTTAATTTTCTTCCATTTGATAAAATATTTTAATCGAATGCGGGGCTGCTGGCAACTCTAGAAAAATAGGCTGGCTTTTGGTTTACTTATGAACATTTTTTTCTCCTGCTCGCAAAAACTATGCTCCCATATTTGATGTAATTAATTAAATTTAAAATTATTTTTACCACTGTTATACATAAATAACTGAAACAGTAAAATAAAAAAACAAGATGCCGACTGCTGCAATCCTT